GGGCGGAAGTTTCGGTAGGAGGAGAAAACTGAAGAGAAATCAGACAAGATTGAGGTTCCTTCTTTTTCCGTGCTGCTGAGCATGGTACTTACGACTTAATGGGCGGTTACGACTTGGGATCCGGACCCAAGGAGACCTGGCGGCTCAGTCGAGTGTACATACCTTGGCGAGTCGCCGCCTCACCGTTTCACTGAGTCCTCATTCTCTGCATCGAGGACGCAAGACAAAGAGGGAAGGATCTTCCTCTCTCAAGAACAAACGCCACTCGGCTCATATTCAGCTTCTGAGCCAGAGGGCGGCATTAATCAATGAGATTCAGCGAAGTGTGAGAACGTGCTTCGATACGAATCCTGCCGTGGAGAGAAATGTGAGGGATAACAATCTAACACGGAGAGCAAGTTTCTATAGACGCCGTTTCCTGGTTTCCCGTCCTTTAGGCTTTTCCCTATCTCGCTGTCACTTTTCTCTCATGAGTAAAGTCCCTCTCTAGGAACCTCAGGTATTCCCGTGAGATGTTTTCCCCCTATTCCCATAAGCACGCTCAGATCGTTCGGTCTCAGTCAGAGCTGCGTGTCCATGTAATCGATCTCTGCGCACGAAGCTATTCATTCGCAGCAGAAATTCCCGCGCTCCACTACTCAACGTCAAGAGTACACACGGGGGGAATAGCGTACCTCTCTCAGCTCGCGGTTGATTCTCGCCAAGTCGTTGTTCTAATTCCGGATCTGCTCTTCCATTTCCAGCTTGAGATCCAGGCGGATCTCTTCTTTCCGGAGATCGATCTCCTCCTCATTTGCGTTCGACTTCAGTAGCAATTTCTTTCATCCGGATGAGCTCCCGATGCCGTATTTCTAAGGGGTCCGGCTAGAATGAAGCGTGCCGAATTAGCCCAGAACTATCCACGACTCGTCTAGCAAATAGGATTATTCCCGAATAATAACACACTAATTTATAGAATTCATGCGAATTTCATTTTTGCCCCGAATGGAGGTCGTGAACTCGCTTCTAGAGTCTTGTCCCTGCGTGGCCGCTTTTTCAGAGACTCTTTTCTGATTTCCCGATCGGCACTCGAGCTGCTGCTCGAGCGACTTCTGCCGCCGCGATAAGCTTTAGGAGTTTCTTCGCTGCGTCTCCTATGCTTAGAGGATTTGTGACGGGGCTCTTTGTGGGATTTCTTGTGTCTACTACGGTCTCTCGAGCTGCTTCTCCCGCGCTCCTTATCCTTTTTGCGTTTGTAAGAAGCGACCGTCGATCCTTTCGATGGTGACCGGCTCCGGCTCCTACTACGGGACATTTTCAGAGAAAGACTGAAAGTGGAATTTCGCGCACTTAGCATATTTTGCATCTTTCCTCATCCTCTTCACAGAATTTAATTCGAAGTTCCTTATGGGGAGCGATATCCCCCTTATATAATAAAAGCGCTATGTCTGCCTGACACCGAACCACTTTTTAGCGCTCTCCACCTCCGAACAGACCTCAAATTTTCCCGATCGATGCGCAATCACTCCAGTGAGGTCGAGATATACTTTTCTAACTGCTTAGCCGCATGTTTTCCGTGAAATTTACGTGTTCGTGCAGTAATCGTTATTTTTTACAAAATGCAAAGCCGCTCCTTTGATGTCATCAGTTTTCATCAGGTCACCACTTTAACAGTTCTGCGGGCACGAGCCCACAGTCTACTTTGAATTAGCTTCGCAATCGGAACCTGTATCAAGAAAGGAGCCTCTACTCCATTCGTTTCAGCGTTCAGCGAGCGTGCCGAGCTGCGCATCCCGAACTCGGTATAGTAGCAGCGGCGGATCTGGGGGGGACAAAGGGGGCACGTGCCAAGGGGCTCGGAAGCGTCACCCCGCGCTAAGAAAGTACGCTACGACGTTGACCAGTCCCGTCAGGCTCCGGTTCTCCGAGCTTGGATTCGGAACCATGTCCGGTTATAAAGCGCAGTCGGACCTGTTTCCTTTCCGAGACTTGACAATTAATCTTCTCGAGGATGAGCCCCTCCCGACTTATTCACGATAATTAGGTAGTCCAGACTCAAAGAGAAAACTAGATGTATATTGCTTGCATACCCTTCCCAATAGACAACGAAAAGCAACACTTGATATTCTTGAGGCTGTGTGGGCGCGGAGCGGCCTCACGGCTAGTCATATATATTCATCGTGATTCCGTGTTTCTCCCCGTTATCCCGGGCCATCTCATCGTTATCCCGTGCGGATCCATCGTGATTCCGTGTTTCTCCCCGTTATCCCGGGCGATATCATCGTTATCCCGTGCGAATTCATCGTGATTCCATGTTTCTCCCCGTTATCGAGGGCGATCTCATCGTCATCCCGTGTTTCTCCTCGTTATCCAAGGCGATCTCATCGTTATCCCGTGTGATCTCGGTGTGATACTGCGTAATCCCGTGTGATCCGACATGTCTGAAAATCCGAGCCGAAAAAATGTGGAAGGGACCGCCCGATCACTGTCAAATATTCAGCAAAGATCATTAGTCCCATCGTGTACCCTCCCCCATGGTGAGCTTCCATTTTTGTGGAATTTTACGCCGCGTTTTCCTTGTACGCACCTCGCATAGACTTAACACACGTACAATTGTACGCTATCCTCAGCATACGTACAAGCGTACAAAAGTACGCCGTACAAAGCGTACAAGCGTACAAACCGAATTTCATAATGGTGAGAGTATTAAGTAGAGCCTGGGAATCTGATTCTAGATCCAGGGGATGGGATTGGAGATACTACCGCGGGGGGTCGCTACCTAGATGACTTTCTGCATCCTATGCTCTTAGTGGTCTCTGGTCGGGGACCGGCGGGGAAGACGACTTCACTCCGGCCGGAGGACCCAGAGCAAACGGAGACGAGCTATTAGAGCGAATAATATTGGGATATTTCGGTGCGCCGGGCGCCACCGAATGCGCGTAGGCCGGGATCCTCGGTGGGCGGCTGGTGGCTTCTCGCACACTCGATGTGTGGAAGAGACCCAGAATTCCGGGACCCATGCGCATCTGCTCTTTCTCTGATTCCAATCGGGAATATCGAGCAAAAGAAAATCGAGAGAAAGCTTACCGACGGCTCGATTTCGAGTATCAGCAGAGGGTTTACCGCGCAGCGCCCTTCTTCACCTCGGCATGTTCTCTCTCCCTCGAAACATCATGGCGGCCCAGCAATGTTTTGATGGGGAATGACCGCGAGCAGAGTGAGCCTGCGAACGACTGGGAGTCTGGGAGACGAGTAAAAGTGAACGGCCAAATCGATTTGTGTTTTGAGCTGCATTACGAAAATGAGATCTTAGTCGAACTTGACAAAGTCACTCATTACTCGAATGCGTGATACCCTGCTTGTGTTCGGTCGGAGTGAATGTTCCAAAATTGTTGCTAGTCGTCGTAGCGCTACGAACGGGATTCAAAGGGTGCACAGAGAATGAGCTCCATGACTCTATCGCTTCGGAGAGCAATGGGTTCAGCGACGAACGAAATGTGTGATGACGAGCCCCTTCCTCCTGGAGTTCTTGCCGACGATGACGACGCAGCTCCTCCGGGCGTGTCGGCGAGTCCACCTCAGATCGCGGACGAAAATTCCCAGTACAGCTTGACGGATTCGCTTTCCGAGCCCGATAGCGACGGACCCCCGGGGGCATGGGACAACGACGCTCCCCCGGGAGTCGAAGATGCGTACCCGCCACCACCTCCACCTCCCCCACCACCGAAAGTCTACATACCCGACGAGGAGATGATGGAAAAGCTGACATATGCGCGAGTAAGTGTTTTTTATGGTCAGAGAAACGAGGATACAATACTGTCCATCGCTCGATCGAGTCAAACTGCAGAGATCACCGGTCAGCACGTGAATTGACAATATCGCTCTACCCCTACACCGACCTCTCTTGGTTCAATCGAACGCTGAGCCATTTCTCCTGGAGACACATTGTTTTCGTTTTTTTCACGGTGGCATTCCCCATCAGTCAGCTGTCCGGTGCTGGATATACAAGTTGAACCCTCTCCTCAGGTCAAAGTGGAATTCATCGACATCATGAAGCAAATGCCCTTTCCGAAGGAGGCTTACGAGGCTCTCGCAGCGTCTCCATCGCCCAATCTCCTGTTCCGCGAGCTCATAAAGAAGGGATTGGTCCCAATGCCACCATCGGACGCCCTGGCGGATCTTCCGCCACTGGAGATGTTCGACGATCTGGAGGGCAGTATCTACCGCGAGGGTATATCATCACTTGTTCGGCATCTGTTGCCGTTTTGCGAGGAAGACATTTCGTACCTCACGAAGGTACCGCCGAATGCAGTACCGCTGAGCGAAATCGCTAGCCAAGTGTTTGGGATCAAGAAAGAGACCCCCCGATATCAGATTCGGATACCGTCTCCGGAATATCAGCCACCGCCGATCGAAGAGCGTGTACCGACGCCGCCACCCCCGCCTGAACCTATTCCAGAATCACGATTCAGGGTCAAGAAACTTCTGGAACAGAAGCGATTGGAACTGGCCAGGAGGAAAGCGCAAATGAAGATGACCCCTAGCCAGCTCCTCAATTTAAAGAACAGTCTCCGGAAGCAGGGTGAGTTTCTTGGACGGAACACATCGAATTTGAACGTATTCGGATTCGAAGGGAGCATATTCCACCCCGTACTCGATGAGGCATCCCTTGAGAAGCGGGTTCAATCAGTTTTGATTGGCGCTTCTCAAGTTGAGGGAGGAGCTGCTCTAACTCGGCCCGCGCTCCAAATTTTCAGAGAAAGAAGAATTGATCTTACCCACAGAATGCGAAGCCAAATTGGATGAAAGCTCTCAAGAAAGCGAGACTGCATTGAGTAGTCGGAGGTAGGTCTCGCCTTCAGAATAGTCTGAGCCGAAAACAGTCCCAATATTAGTACCGCGCGATTGAACTCCGTAAAGACGTGTGTTCCGGACGTGTGTAAATCCCGAGATAGACCGCGAAGAGATCTTCAATGGATTTCTGCCCGTCTGGGAACCCGCCCGGGAGTCGATTCTCGGAAAAAACGCCTGTTGCCATTCCACCGTTGCTGACATGTCTTCTGTACCTTTTCCATTGCAGTCTGGACAGCGGAGTCACATCTCCGGACATGAAAGAGCGCAGAAGTGAGTAGATCTGAGCTTGAAGCCAAAATATCCGGGCTGGGATGGACTTCGATTATTAGACACATATGTAGTAATTACATGCACATATCGCTGTATATCTGACAGGAATCGTCTCTTCAGGTCGCCACGGCTTCGCTCCGAAAAGGAGTGCAACACCCCCAAGACGGTGAGCTCAGTGAATTCCGGACGGAATTCCGTCTTGCGAGCCCTCATTTTTTCGAAGATCGGGAATCGGCAATATTTTGATGTGACCTTCTTCCAGACCTATGAGATCGCCACCACCCATGAACACTAAGGACAGAAGCTCCAGCTCGGAAAGTTCGTCTGGAGGTAAATCCGCTCAGAAGGGTCCACGAGACAAAATCGTAATGGACAAACCCATCGTTGAGGCCAAGGAGAACGGGTCTTTAGGTTCATTTTCTATGAAGATCAATCAAGTGAGCAAAGGTGGAATGAAGGACACTCTGAGGAAGCTCTCGTTCGGAACAGAAGAGGTAAAATTCTCATCCGCTACTCCTCTGGGAATCCCCTATTTTCCGAAGAATAGACCGGAGGTCGTCAAATCAGGAATGAATTTTGCGCTGCTCCCCCAGGAGGAGGACATCGAGAGGATTGAGCGTGAGAAGAGAGAAAACGAGGAGAAGAAGCGCAAGGCTGCTGAGGAAGAAGCTGAGCTTGCTCGGATCAAGAGAGAGAAAAGAGAGGCTCGAGATAAATCCAAGGGGAGCAAAAAACCCAAGAGAGAGCGAGAGGATACGAGCCCGGTCAAATCTCAGGAGCGTAAATTTCATCCCATCAAAAAGGAGGAAGTGCAGGTCAGGGTTCGACCTCTGGTCCCGGAAACGGCATCCGTTAGTCCCACGCCTCCGGAAGTCACGGAATTCTCGAGACCCGCGAAAATGCCTAAATTCGAAGCAGCTCCAGTGCAATCACCTCCGAAAGATGCGTCTCTCGACGACCCGGAAGCCGAAGAGGAAAAAAGACTGCTCGAGCAGATGCTCAAAGCTCAGGCCGAACTAGAGAAGGTGAGTTGCTCCCCCGCTCCATAATTTTATTCCCCGAGACCTTTAGCTCCGAGGGAATTCGGAAGGGAAGGAATGCCTCGGACTCCCACACATTCTGAGCTCCTCTGGTTTTCCCAGCTGAAACAACGTCGCCTCCAGCAACTGCAATGCAAGGCTGCGACTCCAAATGAGCCCGTGTCCTCCTCACAAGAGAAACCCGCCGAAATGGAAACGAACGCACAAACAGCACAAGAAGTGAAAACAGAAGCAACGAAAGTGAGCCACCAACAGGAGAGCTCAGTGTCTAAGGTATTTCGATCGATTACTTGATTCTCGTCCGTAGAAGGAAGCGAATGTGCACGGACATCATCCAATCAATCTCACCTTTCGTTCATACAGGTGGAGAAGGAGGAGAAAAAGTCCGGCAAAAAAGCTAAGAAGAAGGACAAAAAGTCAAAGAAGAAACATAAGAAGGAAAAAGATGAGAATCGACCTAAACCTCGGAAACCGTCAGCTGAGGCTACCGCAGCGGTTGCGAAACTGCCCGAACTTGATCTGGCGGCCTTCCGTGACGACGAACTGGATCACATAACTGACCGAACCTTCAAGCGACATCTGCGAGTGCCACTCTGCGGGATACGCTACACCTTGACGGAACCATCTCTCAAATTCTCGGCCAATCTCCGGCACTTGGTTGAACTGACGCAAATTGTAAGTTCGGGATTCTTTATCGCTGAGAGATTTCCGATCGAGACTTTCTCCGGAAACCAATCTGTTTCACAATAGTCGCATACGGGCGCGTACCTCAGGATGCTGACAGCGGAATGAAATTTCTCTGACGGAGCTCGCTTCACACCTAGGTTGATCGGGAGCGACCCGTTCAGTCATATGTTTCTCATCGGCTCATTGAGAACGAAGTCGAACCGATGGATGATGAAGCCGAAATGGAAGTCAGTCCCGTCAAGACCCACAACCTTATCCAGATAAACACGATCGAAGGCCCCATTCCCTATCCGGAAGAAAACTTCAAAAATACTCTCGAGGACTACTCTGTCAATTATCAGGGTAACCTCCTCGAAGTGCCGATCGGTGAGTTCGTCGCTCCGCGAGGAGCTTGAGCTCAACAATCTCATTCAGGTTACTTCTTGCGGCTCCGAAAGGGACTGGAACAGGAATCTTTTTTCAGTTTGCGCTGCCGAATCCACATCGTCCGGCAACAGTCCACCCACGATTCCGACATTCACGTCGAACGCACCGCAGGAACAAGATTCGCCCGAGTCGACGACCGGACCTCCGAAGCCGTGCCTCTCCAAAACCCGACGCTCGAATCAACCGAAGTCGGTATCTTTCTTCGATGGAACAGCGCCGGAGAAAGATCCCCTGGCGCTCTCCCCACCTCCTCCGAGCCAGCTGTTGGCTGAGCGACGAAAGAATCGTCAGCGTGTATCGCTTCTCCCACCCGCCGCGGCGGTAAATGCTCACGTTCTAACTCGCCAAAACCTTCCCCCGCCACCGCCGCCCGTTGGCGACGCTCCCGTCCTCTACGCGCTGGATCCAATCAACAAACAGGTCTACGAGATATTGCATCCCGGTAACGGGATAGCCATAACTCCGGGAGGAGTGCGCAGTCTAGATGCCCAAAAATACATCTACGGGGAAGTGGTTCACACAAACGAGACGGTTCTAGTAGAAAACTTCCTCCATCTTGTCTACAAGTTCCCTTATTTGATTAATGGCGAATCCGAATAGGGGGACGAGCAAGATAGCGGCTTCCACCAGCTAGACGATCGTTTCATAGACTGTTGATTTGATGAGTTAGTGTGGAATTCCTGGTGTGCACAACGCGGTTCGTCGACGCGAGGAGTTGTAAATCCGGACGATTTCTAGCTCATTGGGCTCTAACGGGGAGATTGAGAGCGTTATCAGCAGAGGTTGAGGATGGCAGCGTTTAAAGAAGTTGATGTCGGGAGTTCCTCGAGAGCTCACGAAATAGTTAGTGAAGCCGATGTTTTAATGATGGGATCATTGCAGAGTGGTGGGAACGGAGCTCTGTTACTCAGAAAGTCGCTCCGTCCTCCTCTGAATACGTTCATCGGTGACGCTGTTCCCTAAGCCAATCAAGAGCGTTCCTCTTGGCAGACTGATCGGTGATCGATTGGTCTCCGAGTTAACTTACCCTCAGTGAGATGCGCTCGATGCAGAATGACTCCGGAATGATTGTGTAAAAGCGGAAACGTTTGCGTATCTATGAACATTCTTGGACAGGTGTGGAAAAAATAGCTCTCTATTCTAATACAGTTATCATGTAATCTAATTGAAGATTCGCGCTAGATCCTGTAAATAAGTGAACCAGATAAATATAGTTAAGTCTCGAATAGTTATTTGCAATCTATCATTTCTTCGCCTTGGATGCTCACGGTAGGAGAAGCCTTGTCTTCGCTGTCGCTTTCGGGATCCTTTGGCTCCTCCTTGATCCCTCCAAAATGAAAAAAAACGGTGACGAAAGCTGAAGTGTCGTATTTGATCCCGAGCACTGTTCCGGCTCGAATTCGAAGACGCGATGGGCAATAATAATTTCATACGTCAGGCTTGATAGGCATAATCCAGCGAAGATCGCGTGAATCGAGAACCGAGAATACCACGCCATGATCCAGAGGAGAAGAGTCGAATCTAACGCTCTCAGCTTCAAAACGCTCCCTGCGCATCTTCGATCGCTCGCCGCTCGCTTGACGTGCTCGATCCGACCAGCGGAAAAGGCCGACATCTCTCAATGGTATCGGACTTAAGTTCTCTCATTTTGTCGACATGTGCGACGTTCGAGGCATCCACCGAGAAAAAAGAATGCTCTATGAAGAATGCTCTATGAAAGAATGCTCTATGTTCCGAAGTTCTGCTATACAGATTTATTATTGGACGTGAGAACAGATATCTCGACCGTATGTTTCCCGTAGAAAAATTATTACACTTCTTTAACGAAAGACCGTAAGCATTCACACGTATGTATATATAAATTCATGTATAGAAGGATACATCATTATTTGCTTGCCTTCCCGTGTAGCTGACACTTGATTGATACAATTTCCGGAATCCGATTCGTCTCACGGCTCACGGGTGGGTGTCGTTGTTTCACGAATCAGAGGATTCCCGAGAAGCAACGTGGTTCAGAAATTGCTAGGAAGTCTTGGGTAGATGTTATGACCCCACCGATGAGAATCGGTCACAACGGGAACCGGTTGAGCTTTCACGAGCAACTCTTGAGTAGAACTACGTGTAATTGAGTCCTCGCTCGATTGAGGGCTGAAAATTATTGCGAACTTACGCTCAGCCACGAGGCATTCACGCTACACTTGGCGCGATCCCATTTCACCGATCGCCGGAGTCATTTTTTAATCGGCATCCGAGCTGTTCTCAGCGCCTCTCGGACTTGAACCAAAATAGAAGCGGAGGGATCGTGTTTGAGCCTTCAGACGCGATTCATATACCCAAGTGCAGACGAAGTTCACAAACGTAATCTCAGGAGCTTGAGAATGCGGGTCGATGGTATCATTCATGGACCGCCTGACTATTCGCGCCAATTCTCATAATCACTGTGTCTGAGCCGTGTCGGACCCTGAGCTTCGTCAACTCAGGGAGCCGATCAACGGAGCACACGTATGAAAGGATCATGTTTGATTTTTCCATGAATTCAATCTCGCCAACTTCATCGCTGTCGACTCCTTGTTCCTCTCTCGGATGATCCGAGATATCATCCATGCAGCAATCGGACAAAATGATGCGACGAATTTATTGCAGCCCAGATAAGGGCACACCATTGAGCAAAGCTCACTCTCCCTCAGACGGGATCTCGAGAAGCTGATATCATGACCGAGCTGTGGATCCTTTAATTGTACACGCGATACTTTCGATCTCCCCACACGGGGGAGAGGTTCATGATAATGGAATCTAATAGAGGCCGTCTTCCCCCTTGCCTTCTGGGTCGGGGCTTCGTTGATGAACCTCCTTCATGACGTCTCCATTTACACGGTCGTGTATTTACACTATGGAACTTCCTCTTCGGAGTTGATGGAATTCTAACAGAACCGCTGATCTTCAATCGAAGCGTAAATGTTCTCTCCGGGTCGCATGGCCACGAACTGGTATTTTCTATCGGTTGGACGGTAAGCTTGCGAGAATTCATGTGCCGAGCACTCATAATCTGCAAGTATAGAGGAGTTGAAGGTGGTACCGAGAAGCGACGGGTAGGGCAGGCTGGGGCCAAAGGGTTGCCTCAATAGAGTTTGGATTCATGAATGGAGGGTAGTTACCTCTTTGATCAAGTTCCTCGTAAATCGGATTCAGATGCTCCTTACTTGACGTTGAGGCCAACTTTCCCCTGTCCAGAATCACTAACGAGGGTGTGAGAGCGGGAACTTTCGCGCCTAATGGCAACGTCGTCCCGTAGCCGCCGTACATGTCTGGCATACCAGAGTCGTTCTGGAAATAATTTCCGGAAGCTTAGGAAAGTTCCCCGCGTCGAGGTCGGCGGAGCTCGCCCGTTGTCACCGCGTGTATGGTCATACAGTACTTATGGTCATACGCCACGGAACAGGTGGGGATATGAATAGATGAAGGGAAAAATGTCATTAGCTACCTCTTCCTTGTTTATCAACGACGCGGGACCTTGATGGCGTCCTCCGGACAAACCCAGGACGACATGATTCAAGTCGCTGCTTGGCTTGAAGGCCAGAAACGAATCCATCCTAAGTTTGTGGTGTCTGGAACAATTAGCGTCCGCTCTGAGAAACTTCACAAAAACTCCCATCGGGCAAGCCGTCCACACGTCTTCCCGCGCTTGGCGGTCTCCGTCGCGTACCGAAACTATTCTCGTGTCGAGAAGAGTAATTGAGTGACTCACCGGAACGCGAAGAATGCAACGAGGCAAACAACACTGAACACGAGAGTGGAGCCGACTGTCACCAGCGGTAAGTTTGGAGGTCGACCGTGTTCATTAAAGGTGAAAACTTCGCTCAGAGGGACTGCAGAGCACTGATTTGCAGAGGCGCATCCGAACCGGGACGGTGGAGGTGGGGGTAGAGACGGAGGTCCCGTGAGAGGAGCCGACCCAGGGCAGAAGAGGAGCAGGTCGGCAACCAAGTCAGGATCATCCTCTAAGAACATCCACTGATCCATATCGTACGTGTGATATGAGATGGCCTTCTCTGATGTCTGGAAGGTAAATGTATGCCTTTAGATAGTTCAAGGAGAAACTCACTCGAGCCGACTACATTATCGGAGTACCGTCGGATTGCTCACGTCCGTCTAGGTCTCAGAGGACACAAATCTGGAGAGCTCGTCCAGGTATATCATACGTGTGTTTCTAGGCGATCGACAGGGTTTACTATTCCGACTGATTCCTCTCTGACGATCCGGATTCTAGAGCAGTCGGGCCGCTTCCTCGGCGAAAGTTGCGGACCCGAAGGCATTCTGGATCGTCTCCTCCGCATCGGAGCGGCGGGGCCTAAACTCATCCCAATAGATTGGATTCCTTCGAAACTCATAGTCTCATAGTCATTGCGGATACCGAAGACTTGAAATTTCGGGTTGTGCGTCGGAAAAACGCCTCCGGAACCCCTCTGACAGGGATGTAAGTCAACAGAACTGGTGATCTGTGTTTATTGAGACTTGCAAGGCTCTATCCGAGCGACACAACTCTGCATATTATCCTCCCAGAGATAGGAAGCGGATACGATCAGGCTCTTGGGAAATGATCCAGCATGAGTAGGCTCTGGGAAAGTCTCGCGTTGAGTCCATCTTCTCGGGCTTCGGAAGTCGGTTCGGTCTTCCCACGTTCCGTAAACGAGACTTCAGCCTCGGACGACCCGTACACCGCTCCCGCGTCGGCCCCGCTCTGACGCAAGAGCAATTATTCGAATAGCTCCCGACACGATTTTCAGGCCGAGACAAACAATTTCGTTTCGTACTCAAGTAAGAGTCATTTTCTTCAGTCTGAATAAGTTTGCGCTCCTTTAATCAGCGCGATACTCAAGCTACGGAGAGAAGTCGACAGGGACATTGACCCACCTATCAACGGAGTGTCGATCTGCGATTGCCTACGAGCGCCGTCATTTCTTGGGTCCGGATGAGGTCTCCTCTGGATGCAGATTCACGCACATCCGACAGTACAATTTGTTAGTGCGAATCAGCCAGGTGCTTCGTGGGGGGTTCGGCTGGCCAGGAGAAGCGAGAGGTGACTCCAGAGAGAGAGTCCTGCGCAAGGGTGAGGGTTGCCCAGAGTCTTCTGTCAGAGAACGATGAGCCGATCGCAGATATAATTGTACGATTTCGGACAAGGGCGCTTGCCCGGAAAATTTCGTGACGTGAATCACAATTCAGGGGGCATTCTATGGTCGAAATACGCGCGCTTTACTCTTGCAGAAGAACGATGCCTAGTACTACTGGTGTGACCGATTCCGGTACGTAGCCGCCCGGCGACTGGAAGCTGAAAACTCTGTCGAGAATGACGGAGCATCTAGATGGTGAATGGCTCGCTAATCCATCGGAGTTTGGGAACTCTGGTTTTCTCGCATCAGGACGAGTCTTCAGCTCGACAGGGATCGAAGCGGGACAAGGGATCGCCGTCAATGGCATCGGCTCTGTGCACACGGCTACGGCTTTGATTAGCCAGAACGTTCGTCATGGGAAGTAGTGGGGACCCGAAAGCCGAAGGTTCATTAGGACGAAACTTCTTCATGAGGTCACCCGCCCGCTTCTAGACTGATGGCACTCCCCCCTAAGGGAGCCGATGGCCCGCCTGTCGCAGGGCTCGCGGAGAGAGATATTTACGAAGCACTCGTGTATCATGCTTCGTACAGGGGCAGAACGGTCCGGCGGTAAAGTATTGCTCCGCAACATAGGCAGGATCCGTGCGATGAAGGTGGGATGAATACCCGAAGCCTAGTTCTGCTTCGGTGAGTCAATTTTTCGCATCGATCCTCGGGACGGACTGTGTACCCTTTGCCGGATTCCATGCAGCGAGATTGGAGAAAAATATTGGAAGGGACCCACACCATTCCAAGAAAGTCCCATGGCGGGGGGCAATCTACATACTCATATATGATACATATAAAAACGTCTGTCTGTGATGTGTTCCCTGTTGACTCCTGAACGGCTGAACCGATCTTCGTGATAGTTCAGGGTGGGTCTCGGAAACTGTCGGGAGGGGGCGTCGTCATGCGATGGGTCCTTCTACCTCAGAAAAATACTTCTCCTTCTCCCGCCACCGAACACTCATCATCTGGAAGAAACGGGGATTCGCGAAGTTCCCCAAGGGCCTATAATGGGAAAACTGGGGAAGCGAGGAACAGGAATATGGATCAGCGGGAAGGTTGGAAAGTGCAAGGACAAGAAACCAGGGAAGCGCGAAAACGGGTATGGGTGAAGTCAGGTGAGCGAAAACGGGAGGACGGGATACAGAGGGATACGATAAAGACGGGGAGAAAAGATCATGAGGGGAAACGGGAAAACCTGCAGGAACAGTTTCGAAATGAGGGTCCGGAACCTAATCGGCAGTCATCAGCTCCATGAGGTAGGGACCATTCGTGTCATCTTGCAGCCAGGACCTCGCTTGTTTCTCCGGTTCTCCGGCGTGGGCCCGCATCGAACTGCGCAGGAGAGCCCGAGCGACATAAGATTTTTTCGTGATCCACGTCACGAACTCCCAAAGTCTACCGAATGAGACGATCTGATGATTCTTGGGACCTCTTGGCCATTTATTGACTTGTAAAGTAAATATTACATGTCGGAGTCCCCCTTGGACTCCTCATGATTCTCATCTCCCACAAACTCGCTCTCTTGTATCATACCGTTTCTCGATACCCTCTCCAATACCTCGTTATCAACATGTGTCTATAAATAATGGGATGAATCGATTCGGTCATTAGCTTTTGTTGCAGTCGTTTATGAGTCGAGATGAATTCTACACACGCGAGAAGGAGAAAATCGAGATAAGTTCCTCGCTAAAAAGGTATCACACCTCAGGCTTTTCTTTCGCTGGATACAATGGACTACCTATATTTCATTGTAATGCTTATCTTCGTTTCGTATGTGATTAGCTCCTTAGTTTGCAACAGATTTCAGCAGGTGTCGAAGCGAAAACTTTTACACGGTCCGCGATAGTCCAGCATCCGGCACTGCGCCCGCTCATTGGTAGGCTGGTAGGGAGTTCTACTCTTAGACGACGTCGGTTTCATTCATAAAGTATTTATAATATGTAGAGGGAATCAATAATAATCATTTAACTCGCTCACTCGTCATCAACACCACCGCCACTTCAGCATGGAGTAGAGGGATGACTGTCAGATTCGGAAGGTGTCGTCTCGATTCGACTCGAAACTGAAGTTTTTTTGGGAAGACGTCGGTCGCAAGCTTGAGAGATTTGAGGAAATGCTCCCTGAACGATGTCGGGGCTGCCTTCTCGATCATCTCGATGCCAGTGGTATTGATGAATAACTGTTTACTTTTTGTGCGATCAAGTACGAGATCGAGATAGAATGATTGAAACGGGAGACGAAACTAATCACCTAGCGAGCTCTCGCGGCGGGACCTTATATGCTGCGTGAAATCCCGCACCCGTTTGACAGAGCCCGACGAACTAGAATGCTGGTTCCGACCAGGGTCCCCGCGAAAAATTCATCGACCCTGTACTTTACAAACGATTCGAGGAGAAGGCTCCTCCTTGTTCCTATAATTGTATATGTCTCTCAGCGACCGTTCGGCGCCTCGACAAGAGTCTCCGTAGGCACAAATCGGGTGTACGACTGAATGAAAGTTGGAGAGGAACACGAAGCGAACGCGCACCTTTTGAATGCCGCCTAGCAAGGTCACCGCTAAGTTTCTAACTCAGCTATTTTTTCCGTCGATCGGGCTTCGATTCGGAGTTATGGCACATTGAAGCTTCTACCTATTCCGTCAAGCTCAGGAAGGGCTGAGATTTTGAGCCCTCCATTCTTCCCCCGAATTTTGAAACGTCATCATTCACCCCTCATGATCGTCCTCCACAATTCAGTTGAACGAAATACCATCATATATTCATTGGAAGCGGTTGGATTGCGCGCTTCCGACATCGCGCCGAAAGACGTAATGAAGAGGCAAATGAATAAACAAGAGGAAGGCTTCGGCGAGCTGATGAAGAGCTCGAAGGAGAATAAATTTGAACTGATAAGTATCCCTACGAGTTCAGTGACTGCTGTCGGGAACACACATAAATGCTAGGGCAGGTGGGGGACTGGGAATCATTGAGGAGATGAATGGGCGGGAGGAGCTTGAGGGTAGAACGGCAGCTCACAGGAATCTTTCGCTGACTTCAACTGTCGCTTGTTCAGTTGTTCCGGGATCATGAAGATGGTTCTCAGACTTATCCGGGCTTTCGACTTCACGGGCTAGATCTTAACGGGTCTTTAGTTGGACGAGTTCCGTACTCAGATGTCGGCGAACTTTCCTGCAGCGACTTGTATCCATTCGGTTCTCAGGTTTCGGTCAACACTGACAATGAGTCGCTTTCGTTGTTCTAATCGTGTCGTTGATGTTGTCGTTGTCAGAGCGATGAATACTTTTCGAGGACGAGTTCGTTCCATAGGTGGATTCAGCTTCGCTTGCTTTGGAAATTGAAGCGCATCGGATTCATGACATGGTTCTAAATCAAGGAACTGGCCAGCCTCGCTTCTCTGTCTCTCTGAGATCGCATCGCGTCGTGAAAACGACGCCTTATTCTTTGCGGTTTTCCATTCTGGCGGTGGGCTCCAGTCTATTCGACGTTTTTGATACCTCACTCCGCATCGTCTTCCTACTGCCAACGTGAAGCTTGCTGAACGAATCTCAAAATTAGCTGCTGAATAGGTTTCTACGTTTTCTCTTTTGAGTTCTGCAGCTCCCGTCGTAATTGAGGTTGGTGTTGAATATTTCGAAGTATTTACATATTTACACCTAGATGGCAGCTCACAAGACGATGACAACATGGGAGAGGGCGGCTCAAGACTTCGAAACCCATGCGTCAGGGAACGAAAAATCTAACAAATATAATGTCGGTCAGGAACGGGCTGCAGTTCCTATGCACATATTTGACATTCGTATCGCAGTGGAGTTTATAGTTTGGACTATATTTCGTTCCATCGCTGTTTGTCCTCATTTTCTTTCAACAAAATTCTGTCGGCATCGTGACGGTAGTTTTTCAAACTGGTTGTCACCAAACGTTCAGCGAACGCGCGGACCACGGGCGCCGTCAAGGGGCAATGAACACGGATCGGTTGACCATCGATTCGGAGATCCTCCTGTCCTTGTGATTACTTTCTTTCTTTCATTTTTTCCATCTCTCCTTATTTCGGTGCCATAACATCTGACTTGTGAGTAGATGAATCCTGCTCGGCAAGTAGGTCGAGTGGAAAGGCACGCTGTAGAGTGTACCTCGGAACGATATGCTTGGCAGCATCGGTGTGAACCACATCTTCTTCGTTCACAGATTTTTCTCTCTCTCTTTCTCGAGTGATTTCTCAACGATGCGTTCTTGAGGTTTTCGGTGGAAGGTGTCGCGAAATTTCTCCGCCCGGAGGTTTCGGTATTCGTTCACAGCCACCTCCTCATCCTGTGGTGGAATCCGATCGGGAAGTTTAGTTCTGCGGGTTCCCAAATCGCTCATCGGCTGAGAAACGTCTCTCACTCAGTGGTTGTTGTTGAATTTCTATTTGTTGAGATGATTCTTCCTCTCGTGCTGCCTACACTTGTCGCTCCGATAGAAAGTAGCCTCACAAAAGGAGCACTTATATGGTTTGTATCCATTGTGCTTGTTCATGTGCGCCCTTAGATGGCTCTCGGTGGTCAGCTGTTTTTCACAAACGGGGCATGGGTAGCGGATGCCTTCATGAATAATGTTCCGATGTCTTTTCAGGTTTCCTTTGCGGTTGAAACTCGCTCCGCAAACATCGCAGTTAAACGGCTTATCACCTGAGTGTGAGGCCTCGTGCTGCTTGAGGTGCCAGTCCTTGTTCGTGGTGTAGTCGCACTGCGAGCAGCGGTAGCGTCCGTCCTTCAGGGGCGTTCGAGGTGGACCAGGCGGCTGGGGTGTGGGACCCGATGGAGCTGAAACAGTGGCCACTGTCGTTGTCACTGGGGGTGGTCCCATCGACGCCATGACGCTAACGCCGTACGCCGCCTGCGGCACGAGGTCCATCTTCTTGAATTCGTCCTGCCCGTGCCCTGGACGAAAAGGCGTTGGAGCGCAAGGTGCGTGTCCCAACAGCGGCTGGGCCGGTTTAAGCGGAAGTATCTCCTGAGAAGCAGCCTGCAGAGCCGGAGTCACAGGACAAGTCATAGACTGCGGTCCTGTCGACGGAAGTAGCCGCATCTGGAAAAGCGGTTGATAAAATCGTTAGATTCCGAATGATTCGAGAACCCGGAGGGGGGACCGGCGTTGGGCGGACGACATACGTCAAACTTCAAATAAAGTGACATCTGAATGCCATCGCGGAACTTTCGTGCGCAAGATTGACACGCTTGCGGCGGACTCAGGTGGATCGGTCGGTGAGAACGTTTCGAGACAAAATTTATTCCAAAATGATGAACTTCCACAAGCTTCCAACTCACAGAGCTCCATGAATCGAACAAAAACATATCAATTCAGAGCTCGGAGGAGCTCTCCGTCTGAAGTCGAGAGAAAATTTCCCCGCTATTGCGAGCGATGAGTCTCCGCACAACGCCCGAGGAACGCACAGCTGCGGGAATGATCACCACAGATTGTGACAGCGGCAAATTTTCATAACAATAACTGCAACTTCTCTGAGTATTTCGAAGCGGTCGAACTAGCAAATGAAACTCGCGTCCCCCAGCTTCCTACCGCTGAGTAGTCACAGTATACCGTGAGCGCCATCTGACGAGAGGTCGCTCCAACTTGGTGATACGATCCAAGTTCAATCTACGACCGTTAGGAGCTAGCGCGTCGCCTGATCGAGCGATTTTGCAGATTTCTCCCGACCGATGGAGCGACGAGAATCGATCTCTCAATTATATTTTCGCGGGAAAACATTGGGTACCGAGCTTGTGACACCTTAGAGAATTACGCTTGGCCCAAGATCGTGAAAGAACGAATCACCACACGCGGGGATTATCGTCGAGAAACAATGGACCAGCTGAGGCGACACGGAGTCGGCAGCGGAAGTTCCAAAGATGATCCGTATAGAGTTATTCGAAAATTACTTATTTACCACTTGACAGTCGTTTATGTCCAGGACAGCAGGGTCCTGGTTTTGAGGCATGTAGAAACTTTGCAGAACCCAAGCCATGGCTTGAGCCGGTCGGTATGCCTCCAGTTCAGACAGCTGCTTTCTTTTCGAATCGATCCCAGCTATGTGAAAATGAACTCAGGGAAGCGGACAAGTCCGAATCAATGAGCCCACCACTGGATGATTCACGGAGATCACTTGCACTTGATGAGGTTCAAATTCTTGTTTCGCCCTACATCGAACTGCTCCTCGAACATCAAAACCGAAACTCAAATGTCAGCCTTCGCACGCACCCCCGAACACGGAATTGCATCGGTTGACGCCGAAAGATCACTGTTTGCACGGGTTCATGAGTGAATTATCCAGAGGAGGAGCACGGTGACGGACCGACGAGGGGAACGGTTCGATTGACGCCGATATTTTCGGGAATAAGTATCATCCGGATGATCACAAGTGAGAATTGTGAGGTGTCTAATCACGACAGAGATCGAGGGGGAACGAGCCCCGAGGTAAGCGCGAAGGATTCGCCTCTGTTTTTGTCCGTCCGTCGGTCGGTCGGTCGTTCCGTCCCTCTGATTGGAAGGGAATTGATCTCCACTTCGGAACTTCACACTGCCAGCTCGGAGCGAGAACCAGAAGACGAGCGGATCGGCTCGATGCTTATTTCCCTCCAGCGCTCGATGTCTGCATGCCTGATGCTACAGAAGGGACGCTATCGGAGAGCGCCGAAAACTCCGAGAGAGGGATCCGTATGTGAGTTTACTTGCTAGGTACATGTCCCAATGCTCAGCACTAAGCTTGCTTGCCGGTCTTTCTGCAGCAGCAGCAGCGGCAGCATTCATGCCTACCCGCCAAGCGAACGAGCTAGGTAGCTCGGTGGCCGTTGATTCAAGCCGCTCTGTGGAGTGCGCACGACGTATTCAGAGACTGAGCGGCTGTCGGCTTAGCGGCATTCGCGCAGCACCTCTTCTGGTTTCCCCATCTGGCCGCCGAGCTCGATAGCTCGACGCTGACTAGCTTCAGTCACCCCACCTAAAGTTCGAGGAGGCCCTCTCGGAGTTTTGTTTAGAACTCTCTGCCAGCCAGCCCGCCAGCCAACTAGATAGCCAGAGTGAACCCACTGACAGACTGAACCAGAGATCACCGCAGCGTGCAAGAGCCCCATGGGATAAGAACCGACCCAAAATATCAGAAAGTCGTCGTCCACGGAAGCCCGAAATCCACTCAAGCACCATGTGCTCAAAGCGACAGCCCGAGGAAACCGCACGCCGGGTGCCCCGTGCCCGGGAACAGGGCCGACGCCGGAACAGTTCTCGCAGCAGGAGTCCACAGGGCTCTGATCGATCTCTTCTCTTCCGCGAGGAGAAGAGAAACTTGGGGTCCTATTGCTCTATCGAAGATGATGAGCTCCGGTTCGAAGTAAGGACGAACTTAATCACAAGCTCACAAGAGCACTACGCCTCCGAGCCATCGGAGCAGGCATACTGGGAAGGCCCCCGAGTAGGTGCGTCAATCGACAAAGGCCACCTGTGGGGTACAGCAGGGATCTAAGGATCGACGATCACTACTTGCCGCGACTTGACGGATGTTGCACTCGGATCGAATCATTCCAGATCCGATCCGAGTCGAGGGCGGACTCGACGGAGCAGGTGCTGTTGTGGTTCTTTGGGTGCTTGAAGATGGAACACCTACGACCGTCTTAGGGATACTCGTAGCCGATGATGTGGATGTTGCAGGACAGACTTCGCTGCCGCCTCGGACGGGACTGCTCTCACTACTGGGGCAGCAGTGGCAGGTACTGCCGCTGCTTGAGGGTAGAAGTTCGTCAGCTGCCGGAGATGGACAGTCCACGAACAATGATAACACGAACAGCTGATAGAGATCCAGAACAGCGCTGTTCCTCGGCAGGGTAGAGTCGCCCCGCTTCCCGTAGTGTCCACAAAAACCAAACTTCGATTCGCCGAACACTTCTCCCAGCCTTCGGACCCGGATTCCTTAAGCTCACGACATGGGGAAGCCGGGACGAGGCGTGAAGACGAAGAACTTAACGAAGCCCACTGAGGTAAGACGTTCAAGTCGGAAGCTTCCCGCGCGTCGTTGTTTATTGGGCTTCTTGGAGCACTCCCGCTCTTATGTTCGAATTCCTAGATGCACGCATGGTCGGCCGCATCCTCCTTCTTCATCCTGCTCCAGAGGTAGAGAGGGAGCAGCAGACGGGGGATATCGTCAAGTTCGCACGCGACACGTTTTTCGATAATCCCTGGAGTGGATTCCAATTGTTTTCAAAGCCGTTTTCCGCTTGTCAAATCGACATGATAGTGAAGTAGGAGTCGAGCGGGCTATCCTTCCCGTTCTCAGAACACGCCGCCTCGAGTGTTTTCCTTTCTCTCTCTTTCTCTCCCATTCATCCACTCACGGCAGCTGCTGCTGTCACTGTGTAGCTTGTTGTTGCTGCTGCTGCTGTTGGTGTTGCAGCTGCAGCCGCCGCTTCGTCTTTCCCTGATGATGTCGGGGAGTTCAGACGGAGGAGACGGAGAGAGGGAGGGAGCGAGCGAGAAGCCTCACCATGGTTCGGGAGAGAAAAGGGAAAAGGCGAGAGAGAACACAGAGAGGGAATGACCGCGGAAGGGAGAAGGAAAAGGAATCGATGGGCGGGGGAAGAGCAGCGGATCAACCGAAGGAATAGCAATGTGCGGATTCTACGATAGCAGCACATTGACATCAGATCATCAGCCAGCTCTTCGCGCCCTCAACACGAACCGAGTCCCGAAGAATATCGCGACTGGGAAAGACTTCCCCCTCTGAACTCAGGTCCGGAGACAGGGCCCAGAGTCTTCTCGCCGCGAATTATTAGGGGAGACTCCCAGGCCGATACCAGGTATTCGCTTCGACACACCTTAAGTAGCAATCGATGGGAAAAGTCGAGATGCAGGAGCGTTCCGCAGGACGAGGCGCTGCGGACTCGCGTTCCCACCTCTGGTCGGAGTATGATCATTGTTGGAGTTATCATTCATCGAAATCAAGATATATACTCCAAGTCGGTTCCGGTGTGACTAATTACTGTCGAATCGTCTCGCATTTTTTTGATTGTATGATTTGGCGGAGCAGACTTGTAGAGTAGAGAGGTCGGAACGGAGACTCGTGGGTCAAATCCGTGTGGCCTACGGGGATCTCACGAGGGAGAAATACCTATCTCGATGGGATTAAATAAATGGGAGAACTCGATCCGGAAACAGAGAGCGCACGCAGAAAGTCCGAGAGAGAGGAATAGGCAGGGGAACGGCAGGGCTATTGACGACGCTGTCAGCAGAGGGAAGGGGGAGGACAATCGCGATATATGTATCCTCAAAAAAAGACGCTGCTGCATCACCGGACGGGCCTCGGGAGATTTTAAGGAGAGCGGAAAGACTTCACGCGAATCGAATCGCGAGAGAGATCGCAAAAACAGACAGAATGAACGAATAAAGTTGGTATTTCCCCTTCGGAGAGTCATGGTACGGAGAGAGGGAAACCGAGAAAACCAAGATACATGGAGGGACGCAATAAGGATGAAGGAGACTTAAGTCGCGGGCTAGCGAGGAAGACTGTAGCGGAAAGGAAGGCAAAACGACAAGGAGGAACAACAGGGGACGCGAATTGAACAAATGGACGGGGAGAAGGACGGCGGCGAGCCTTGTGCCGACGAATGGAGCAGACAGGAAAAAGAGGAGAAAATACAAAGAGAAGAGACGACCGAGTAAGAGAGAGGGGTGAACACCGCTTGTAGCCCTTCAATGATGAAGGAAGGAAAAGAGGGGGAAAGACAGAGGAGAATGCGAAGGAAAAAGACGGCAGAGCTGAGGAACGGACGGAGGACTCAGAAGAGTAGCTGTACTTGCTCCTTCCGTGTTTGGGGGAGGAAGTAAAGGAGGAAAATAAAGGGAGGTGGACCGACAGCAGCTCCTCGAGCGACGTTGCCAGCCGCTGGAGGAGAGACGAGAAAGACACCGCTTGGGAGAGGGGCCACAGAGAACATCAGGATAGCGCTAGAAGGCGTCCGCCAAGAAGAAGAACAAGGAAACGGGTGGCAACGGGCGACAGAACAAAAGGAGGCTGGCCTTATGCCGGGATCCTTCAGTCTCCCTGTCTCGCCGGCTAACTGACGGGAGGAGAACAGGAAGCGAGATGTGAGCGAGTCAAAGCTCGAGAGAAAGAGGGAAGGCGAGTGTAACGAAGCACAATTGGTGCAAAGACGGCGAGCAAAGGGTAGAATGGATTGCAATAGAGAAACGAAGGGAGCAAGGAAGATAGGTGGAAGCACACCCGTCTGCTGGCTCGGCCGCAGGCCTGCCGTTCGGAGAACGATGTTTTCCGCGCGTTCTCGCACAGGAGGCACAACAGGGAGAGAGAGAGAGATGTCGACAGAGATCGGGTTCGGAAGTTGGCGCGTAAAGCAACCTGAGGTGACCAAGACTGGGGGATAGAGCACAATCCATCTCTCGCAAGCCTCGCCGAGGATGGACCACAGCATGATTCGAGCAAGAAGTCGGGAGGAGAAGGCAGGTAGGTTGGTAGACACCTTTATTGTGATGAAGGGGGGGCGCACTGAACGATGAAAAGGAGAAGGATGGTGAATTCATCCACGGGGGTCAGGAATCGGAGGAGGAGAACATGGAGGATAGAGATCCCCGAGCCGAGAAGACCTGACGTATGAGGTCTCATCATATCCTCGCGCCTTGGGAGATCCTACGTCGAACCATTCGAATGGCATACGGTTTCCATGAGCGGAACTCTCGGTATTCAGAATCCGCCTCATGTGCGAATAATATTTTTCCTTTTCCGATTCATCGAGTCATCTATCCGAATTCCTTCACACGGAATACCGCTAATAATCGACCAGTCTTATCACTCTCAGAGGTGCCCACTGGAATACTCGCCATAGTCATGGACGATATCTTAGTCTACCGCAGTGTTTCTCGAGGTGAGGCGCTGGCCCCAACGGTGGGGCCTGGAGAATTTTCTTCACCATAGAAGCCCATGGAAGGTGGGGCACGGTGGGGCGCGAGTTTACACTGAGGTGGGGCCTGGCGAACTATCCTTGAGAAACACTGGTCTACAGAATATTTCGACGAACCCACGTCCTCAATGACATGCAAATGAATTGCTCAGTCTAGGGCCCATCTGACCGGGGTAAACTCACCTCGCGGTAATGTTTGGCCACATGCTTCCTTCGTGCGCAGTCCGAGTGGAACTGTTTTTCGCAAACGGAGCAGGGATACCGGAGTCCAGCGTGAAGGATGGCTTTATGCCGCTGTAGGTTGCCCTTGCGATTGAACGCCTCACCGCAGGAATCGCACACGAAAGGTTTGTCCTGAGAGTGCACTACTCCATGCTGTTTCATGTGGTATTCGTTATTCGTAGAGTAATCGCATTGGCCGCATTTGAATCGGCCGTCCTTGACGCCTTTATGCTGCCGAGGTCGTGAGTCGAAGACGTACTGCAACGAATTACACGATATTTGCAGAAGACACATCGAGGAACGTTTGAGAGAGTCGTTCAGAGAACAGTGAGACGGACAACCAAGCTACGAGAAGAATAATCAGAACAGAATTTCCGAAAACCCTGCACCCACGAGTCCACACCCCCTGAAGAGATATCGAAATTTCGGACGAGCACGGCCGAGAACGTCTCAGCAAAGCCTAAGATGCCATCACTGTCGCGATATCTTAAGCCTCGCCCATTGAAAGCGCCTACGAAGCTCTGATGAAAAACGAAATAGTACTCCTACAGAGAGCGAACACGCAACGAACTCGCTTGAACCCATAATTGAACACGATCAAGAACGATCGGGGTAAGTTTCGCAAGAAGAGTCCTCTCATGCACAAACCAAAAACAGAGGTTATCAACAGTGGTAACGAACTCCAATGCTTTTGTCGGGACAACGCATGCAACGTTCTGCAGGAAAACTCGCATCTGCAGATATTCGAGAGAAGATTTAAGTGAGTCACGTGGAGTCGCGACGAAATTCGAAGATATTAAGATTTTTCCTTCACTTACCTCCCAAGGAGTGCTATGACGATTTACGTGAGCTCGAAGATGCGCCTCAGACGTGAGCTGTTTGCCACACACGGAGCACGCGTAACGGACTCCCTCATGCACGATCATCATGTGTCGTTTGAGGTTGCCTTTCCTGTTAAATCCGCTACCACAATGCTCACATGTGAAATTCTTCTCGTCGGAATGGGATACCTATAATCGGATCAAACAGCAGGCATTAACTTACATGCTATGGGAACCGAGCCAAACGAGAATAAGTTGAATTGAAATCAACCACAACAATAATAACGACGACAACAACAACGACAATAATTTAAGAGCGAACTTTAGCGCATCTACGTCTCAGCACAGCGAACAATGCCACGTCCGGCGGCCCGTCACCCCTGGGAACCGAAACCCTCTGCACTCTTCCGTATTTCTCAACAATCGAATTCCTCGACCCGCAAGAACTCTCGTGACGACGTTCTAACGGCGATATACTCGTGGGATAGTCGAGGGAGAGATTTCTCGATCGCCATGTCGAGGTACTAACCTCATGCTGCCGAAGATGCCAGTCTTTGTTGGTGGCATATGGACAGAGATTGCATTTGAATTTTCCATCACGTACTCCCCCACGTTTCGGTGATTTCTTCGTGAAACTTCCCGCGCCCCCATTATCGTTAGCGCCCGGACCATTACCGGCCGCGCCGCCTCCTCCCCCTCCTCCGAAGGGGTCCTGTTGATTATTTGGTTGCTGCTCCTGCCCCGGCTGTTGTTGTTGCTGCTGCTGTTGCTGTTGTTGTGGCGGCTGCTGCTGTTGTTGTTGCGGGGGCTGCTGTTGTTGTGGTGGTGGGGGTGGTTGCGGCTGCTGGGGCAAACCGGGAGGTGTTGCTAGGGGTATTGATGGACTTCCCTGCCCCGACGACGGCGGGATAATCATCATCTACGAAGGATATAAATGATGATTCTAGTACGGGCGAGGCATCAGCTTTGATTGCTGATGAATGAGTTTCGATGAATAACTGATAAATGAGAGAATATTTGATCTATTCCGGGTATTTCGACCGAGGAATGAACTCACATGGGGGTATATCCCTTGCACTATCCAAGACGACATCTTAGAGCTCAGTGGATCGTCACTATGAGATCAAAACCTGATACTGTAGGCTGAAAAGACGTGGAATGGATTCATTACTACCTCGCTGGAATACGCCTGCGCAAGGGTTCGAAAGTCATGATACGCTCCCGGAGACCGCAACTCAGGCTGCTCGAGGCGAGACAAATCGCTTCCTTCCATAATTATTTCTGTCTGGAAATTCACCCGTACAGAGCCAGGTAACTGTCCGTGTCGCAAGGGAGGAAAGACCGCGAAGACCATTCCAGAACCAAGTTCTATGGCGTAGAGAAGTTTCAGAGAGAGAGTGAGCGAGCCAGCAAGCCAGCCGGGAGAACCGGCTGTGACAGAAGGACTAAGTCCCCCGAGCTAAGGAAACAAGAATGAGAAATAGAGGAAAACTAAGAGGACAGGTCTGGAGTCGCAGGAGCGAGAAGAAGAGATCTAGAGGGAAGGAGCGATGAGCTAGCCACCTACTCGACCAGACAGCCAGCGACGCGAGCTAGCGAGTAAGAGAGCCAAAATGTAATAAGAAGAAAGAGCGGGAGTAAGCTGAGCGAGAAGACGGAGGAGAAGATCAACACGAAGAGAGAATGAAAGAGTGGGATGGAAGGGACAATGTACCGCTCGGAGAAGATAGAGAGGCCTCTTCTCGTTTGGTTGGCTTCTCCTCGCCGTCACTTTTTCTTGCCCCCAAAGTTTTTCAAGTAAGCTTTTCTTGAAATCCCGGCTCGAATTCGGGCTGCAAGCCCTGGCCCGATTGCTCTCCGATGTCGAGAGGATAAGCGTCGCGGAAATCGAAGCGCCGAATTTGTTTCGGGCACCAAGATTTCACAGCCCGTTTTGATGTATCCTTCTCCATTCTCAAAATATTACTAGCTGCTCGTGTCGACGGAACGCAGTAATGCACCGAGTCAATCCCGGCTAACAAGCAATTGTATCCGTTCCAAACGTGTCAGCGATCAACATCGGCCCGTGTATGGCGGAAACAACTGTGTATCTCTTCTCTCTCTCGTCATAGCGCTTTCCATCGAGTTCGCCAACAGATCGAGCTCGGGTGCGCGGAAGAGTAGAATCGCGCGCGAAAGAAGCTCGGATGCCGAAAACCGGCGACGACCAGCATATGAGAATGGCCCATTTGATGAAGCTTCTTCGAGAATCATAGGTTCAGTTGCGGAGGAGACCTATCCCAGTGGGAGGACAGAAAGGGAAACTCTTCGAAAGTTTCTTCGCTTATTTGGCCGCGCGGGTTTGAACTCCGCTCGCTCATCCAGGCGACGACAGCGTAATATCGACACTAAGCATGCAAACCAGCCAGCGCTTACAGCACAGGGGAAGCCGGCGGCCGCACCATGCGTCGCTCGTACTCAGCTGCTCACTGTTCTCCGCTCATTTTCTCTTTCTCTCTCGCTCTCCGCTCATTTTCTCTTTCTCTCTCGCTTCCCGCTCATTTTCTCTTTCTCTCTCGCTCCCTGCTCATTTTCTCTTTCTCTCTCGCTTCGCCCCATGGTGGGTGCTCGTTCGCTCACGGCCGACGCTCATTTTCTCTTGCTCTCCCGCTCGGTGCTCATTCTCTCTTTCTCTCTCGCTCCGGACTCTTTTCTCTTTCTCTCTCACTCATTTTTCCTGCTGAGCCTTCGTGCACTCTTAGCCGGCGCTCATTTTCTCTCGCTCTCTCCTCGGCGCTCATTTTTCGCCTGCTCTCTCGCTCGTCCCTTCTCGCGCTCTCTCGCAGTTTCTCATCCGCCCGCCAGTCAGCCCGTCCGCCCGCCCGCTCGCTCACTCACTCTAACCAGAATAGCGTAGTGGAGTCATGCAGTAGCAGCACAAGCAGCGAGTCTGCCAGCCAGCGACAAAACGAGTGAGCTGGAGAAGCGAGAGATAGAGAGCACGGGGAAACGGGAATGACTGCACGAGCGAATATACTCCGGACTAAGGCCGACATGAAGAGGAAATACTGTGCTTGACAGCGAAGTATCGACCGGAAATCCTCGCAAACCTCTGTTCCCAAGCGTGGAATTCCGATCGGAGTGCACGCTCTCCATACTGGAGAAAATTATTATGCTCCAGAGCATCTTCGGATTCCGGCTAACTCGACTACTGAGGTGATTGGGAGAAGCCTCAGGAAGCCATAATCAGGAAGCTCATGAAGTCCGGTCGCCCGAGCTCCTTGCCTAGCTTCTGGCTCTGCTTCTTCTGTCGCTCAAGTTTGCCTCCAGTTGGCAACATCGGATAGAAAATGTAAACACGCACCAAGCAGGACGATGCAGAGAGCTGCTGCGGCTGATGCTGCCACAGCATCACACTCCCGGCTCGCTCAATCACGCACGCCTTCGCGCGAGAAGGAAATTGGCAGGGAATCCATTTGATAAATGGTAAAGTTAATTTCAGCCGATGACTTCACGAAGCTGGACTTGGAGTGCGCTACTCCGTCGCTCGAGCTTCCCAGTACTTGAAGAGTGCGGTGAACCAGTGAGCAAAGGTGCAGACTGAGCGAAGGAGACTATAAACAAGACCGTGTACGAGCCCGACTATCTAACAGATATCCGGACAAAACTTCGAGGGAACTTACGTTGGAAGCCTCGGATCCCTACTTAGTCGTGGGCCGGGCCTGGGAGTTCGTCTCCGAGTTTTTTCCTTTATGCTTTCGTGTCCTTCCTCCCTACTTGATGTGCTAGTTATTTCCCGTGCTGTCGATGCCGCACTTCTGCTTCCTTCAGAATCCTGCGCTGATATAGCCAGGAGTCGGGTCTAGACGACAGTAGAGGAGACGAGCTTCGAGCTCACCAGGCGGCTGGTTGGCTAGCTAGTTCTTCCGTCCGTATCCCCGTCTGTCAGAGTGTGAGGAAGAGCGACTGTAGCGTAGACGGAGAAACCGTGAGAAATCTGCTACTACTCTGGTCGTTTGCTTGTCTGTTTATCTGTAGCTCAACCCGTTGGACTCGTTGCGTGTCCACAGGCCGATGCGACCGTCCAGTCGAGATCTCGCGCGAGGTCGACGATGACCACGAGCGGCTCGCGCTTCCACTCGCGCACTTCTTCACTGGCGCACATCCACACAAAGTCGATAATGTAGGAAGTTGACGACGAACACGGCAACACCGGAGGCGAAGGCAGCTTCAGCAGGCGGCGAGGAAACGGTGATTTACCCTCTGAGGATCAGTGGACAGAGCGGACTCACCACCGGTTGCTTCCAGACTCGGTGCTCCAGCCGCAACCTCTTCAGGGGTTTTTCTCGCGCTTTTCCGGGAGTCTGCAAGCCCGTTTCCCGTTTTCGGTGGTACGACTGGTTGACCGTTCGATGCGCGGACCAGCTGCCCAGGCGACCGGTCCTCGATTAAGTTAGCGACCCACCCCGGAACTTATTTTCGAACACGTTCGTGAGCCGGCCGCGAGGCCGGCCTGTTGGTCAGTGCGCCAGTTAGGTTGGCAGTTGGTCTGTCTGCTAGAATGCTGGGAGAAGACCCGTCGGAACGTTCGTTTCCAACGGATTTTCAACGAGCGAAGGAATCGACCAACTTACTAAGTGACCAACCAACCAATAAGCCACGGTGAGATATTCGGTTTGATCGCCAGTTCGTCAGTCGCTGGCTAGTCAGCCAGCCGAGCGCCAGCGACGGCCAGCTCCTTCACTCGCTTCTCTTCCTCGATGTAAACGACGACGGTGGCGGCAGCAGCAGCACCACCGACGACGACAACGAAGCCGTGCTGCTGTTACTACAGTCGCCGACGACGACGAGGACGGTGATGATGTTGTTGCGGCTTGTACTGCACTTTCCGTTGTTGCACGAGGGCCGACTCGGTGTACAGATGCGGCGGCGAATCTACGGTGTTGGCGAATGTTACTTCAACAACGAATGCCGCTACGATGGACAACAACGACGACGGGCAGACCACAAGGCACGAGCGAGCGCTACCTCCAGCCGAAGTTATTGGTGCTGCCGCTGCTGCTGCTAGTCGTTGTTTTATTCGAACAATCGAGGAGGATCACCTCCGATTATTGAGAGAGAAAAGTTCTGGAAACAGCGGCAACACCAACTGCGAATTTTGGGGGGGCTTACTTGGTATTTGTTCGTTGTTCTGCTTGCCTTCTTGCTCACCACCACTCACTCGCTCTGTGTGTGAGCTGCTGCCGATGCCGCTCGCTGGTTTGCCTGGTCGCCGCCGCTCGCTCGCTCGCTGGCTGCCAGCTAGAGAGAGAGGTACGACGACGCGAGGGAGGAGAGGCCGGAGCGAGAGAGAGAACGAGAAAGGGCGAGAGAACACCAGGCAGCGGCGAGAGAGAGGGAGGATAGTGTCGGCGACGACGTCGACGACAACAACAACAAGCACCACCAACACACCATGCACACCACCACAGAAGAGAAGTGGCGGCGGTGGCGCGCCAGCGAGAGAGAGAGAGGGATAATGAGCGAGAGAGGAGGAGCGCGTGTATAAGCAGGAGAAACAACTACGAAGAGCGGTGGAGAAATATATTCTCTAACCAGCAGTCAAGCTCCCTGAACTGGAGGGACCGAGAGAAAGAGAGAGAGGAAAGAGGGATATTGAGCTCTGTCGGGTCCGACTCCAAGGGAGGGGCGGCTGAGCGGGCAGGCGGGCGGGAGCAAACGGGAACTCGGAAGAACCGGAAGCGCAAAAGCGAGAGTTGTGAGGCAGGGAGCGGCGGGGCAGAGCGTGGCGTGCGCTCGAGGAAAGGAGACGAGAAAGCGCGAGAAGGGCACGATGCCGACGAAGACGGAGCGACGCTGGAGGACGAACGGGTTGGGACACCAACGGGAGGAAGACGAGAGGGAGAAACACAGGGATGGGCTGAGAGAGAGACTACCGAGGGCTCTGGGAGGGGGAGCGTCAAAAGAGTGAGTGTTCAGAGAGTGAAGTTCGCGCTGGAGGGAGAGCGGTACACAGAGAGCTCCAGTAATCTCCTCAATCGACTCGTCGGGGGGAACGGAGGGCGGGAGGGAGGGAGAAAAAAGAGCAAAAGTTTTCTGGTCAGTGTCTCCTGCGACACTCTTGAGGGCTTCTACGAGCAGCCTCTTACAACGGGGCACCACCCCACCAACGTCGGAGGAAGCACTTCAGAGTAGAAGACACCTCTCCGGAAGAGAGATTGGCTTTCCCGGAGTGGCATCGCATCGGGTTCAATTTCATCTGTCTCGCACTGGACCGGGCGCATTAAACAGCCGATCCTCGGCCAGACCGCGTTCCCTCGAGCCGGGAGCGAGACCTGAATTTCCCGCTCCTTCGCAAATGTGACGCTCCGACCCTGCTGTGTTGCTTGCGGGGTTGGTCTCCGCTCGCAGCCGTATCCTGAAGCAAAAGAAGAACGGGAGGTCTGGAGAACTTGAGGACGGAATGAACGGCTGACAAGGGTATCGAGTGTCTTTGAGAGGGACCGCTCGACTCTATGATGTGATATCATAATATGCAGTCACTCGGCTTCGATCCTCTTGGGTACATTTCCTCTGTGTACCTGGGACATCAAAACTTGGCTTAGTGATCCAGTCCGAAAAAGTTTGGGGACCGCTTGACTCCATCGCATGCAGAGCACACCGAGCTCAGGTTTTCGGCGGTGTGGCCTCGCTGTCATGATCCGAGGTAGAGCATCGATCCGTCTCTGTAGCGGAATGGAATCGATCCCACTCTCCATTTCTTCTAATTGGTTGTCTTCGGGATCTACATATTTGGCCCATATCTGTGGGCCATGCGGAGTAGCACGTTTGAGCGGAGTTCTTCCCGTAGCGTACACAAGATTCCTTCGTGAGGAGGAGGGGAAGTTCCAAGCCTTCCCCCTTATATACAACTTAACCATACCATGGACAGAACAAGTCTTGGGAAGGATCTGCACTTTCTGGCGCAGAAGATGCTAGAGCAAACGAGTTCATTTATTTTCCATTCTCGAATTCCGCCACACAGTCAGTAAGTGTACACATATTCCAGGGAACTAAGCAAGAGAAATACTGTCCCAGCTATGTCGCTAGCCTCCTTGCGGGTGCGGGTACACACGCGTCAAACGTGCGCGAGAACGCCGAACCAGAACGGAGCATCAGGGGAAACAGGAGGGCTTCGCACACATGTGACTTGAGCGAAGACGCTGTGTCGCGAATTCAATGATGAAGGAAGTGCGATGAATGCGTGATTTCGAGTCGATCGGCGCGTCTCGAAAAATGTACAAATTATTCAGATCGAATAAAGCTCGTGACGTCCTTGCGTAGGAATAGGCGCAACATTCTCGCGCCATGAGTAGGATGGCTCTCGAATCATTCCTCCTCTTCTCCCGCCTCGGCAGGAGATGGTCATCGATCCTAAGTTCCCATGCCGTTGTTAAGATCGATCAATGAGAATTAGAACTCTCGATCGGGGAACACGGCTGGTGCTACCAGCGTCCAGGAGTAGAGAGCTGCGCAGACCCATGAGGAAATGATTTTGACCCACATAGATCCACGATTCTCAACGAAACTGCCAGTTTTCGTGGCATCGCCGGGTTGGTACCAGTTGGTCAGGGTCATCATGACGTAGAGCGTGGCCAAAGCGAACATGAAGTGGAAGAAGGACCACGAGTACGCGACCCCGTTTTCTTCGTTGTCCCAGACCTTGGTAGTTTCCTCATGGACAGCCCCGCTCTGAACTCCCGCCTCGGCATCGTTAGAGTCATTGACACCGGTGAGCTTCCCGACTTGGGTATTCGACGAGTTTCTGATCGATGAATAGAGAACACAAGCCGCGAACAGGATCAGAGAGACGATGCTCTGAAGATCGAGTTTGCTCTTGTTCTCTCCAACGAGGGACTCCGGCAGGCACTTGGTATCACCGGAATTCGTGAGCGCCGACCACGTGAGGTACATGATGTAGAGGCTCACCGCGCTCGACTGTAGCAATCCGGATGTCGGCATGTGTTCCTGGACGATGGGGAGCACCGAGATCACGGAAAAGATGGCGCATAGAATGAGGTTGAAGCTTAAGAAGAACTTCTGGAGTCCACAACCGTCGGAAACTGTGTAGTAGGTGAAGCACAGCGAAACAGTGGTGATCGCCACGGCATACATTCCGATGGTGGCTGAGAACAGAGCACAGTACCAGCCGCGCGAGCCGTTGTTCTCGTATTCGGACACCCAAGCTCCGGCCCAGCCGTGGGCGAAGTCGATGATGAGAATGAGCTGGATCAGGATGAAGAGCGCCGCTCCGACCATGCCGAAGTACATCCACACTTCACCGAATGTACGTCCGTCGCCCATGAAGAACGACGCCACCATGAGACCGACCAGGAGCACGTATTTCAGTCCCCAGAAACCGTTCTGTATGCCCGCTCTCCCGTCGTTCGACGTTCTGACACCTATCATCATGACGCACATCACGATGAAGAAGATGGTCAGCGCGAACATGATGCGGTAAACTGCGAGATAGCCGACTACTTCCTGACAGATCTTTGAGGCGGTGCAGAGATTTGGAATTTTTTGTAAGGTTTCAGCCAACGACGGGGATAGCATGATGGCAGCAACGACGGTCGTCACGACCAACATCAAGGCGTACATGATGCGAGTAGAGGTCGAGTTCCTGCATGACGGGCACGCGGAGCAGCACAGCGAACACGCCGCCGATCCGCAACAGCACGCCATCTGAGCGGCCGAGCAGAGCCCGAGGACAGCTCCCATCCTGCAATATGGAACACGGGTCGGTTATTGGATTTGAATCGCGAGGGATCTCAGGGGAGTGAGTCATCTAACGCGAGCTAATCTCGGGAACGATCCAATGAGTCAGTTGGAAGAAAATCGTAACGGGGCGAGCGATGCTTAATGTTCAATTGACTGCGACAGTCACCGCCAGGATGGTCACTGGTTGAGAACGTAGACGGGACCTCAGCAACCGGGCCTACGTCTAGAACTGTGAAAACACCGATTCGGCTCTCCATGGAACATTACTCGATTCACGATCGAAATTCTTGAAAAGAGGATAAAGGCTTGTGCGGTATGTCGCTGCCTAACACCTTATCTCGGACGTAGGAAGTCCGCCGTCGACGCATAGCAACCAAAAATAGGACAAAGAAATTCGTCGTAGTTGCAATTCCGAAATCGATAGCTTTTTAGCTCCAACGAAGTGAAGTCATTCGTCAACGATCAGGACTACGAACTACGCTTCAGCCGCAAAGCCGAGAACAGCTGATGAATACCGTCGGATCCAAATCCGTCGATAGTCACTAACCTGAAGAATTAGGTTATTGGCGTTTCCTCTGGAAGTTTGATGAAAGATTACAGAACTCCTCGAACTTTTCCTCGGCAAAGGATAATCGAGACCGAAAGAAACGAAATCGCGATTCCCTCTGTCGTAGCTCTACACAACACCACCGAGCTCTCCAACGGTAGTCCCAAAGCTCAATGGGAGGAGCCTAACAACGATGGCGGTGAGAAGACGGTTCTCGTCGTTGTGGCGGGAAACTTTGAAAGTCCATAAAAAAACTTGGAACTTGAGAACCATGCGGACGAGTTCCGAGCTGAATGCCGTCGGATCGTCTGATTAGGAGTTGTTCATCTGCGCTACGCCTGCAGGGTCTGTCTTCCAGTAGATAAGAGCATATGCAGCCATAGAAGTTCGATTCCGGTCTCTCATCGGGGCACCCGGCCGCGACCACGCGGATGGAGGGACATCGCATCACAGTAGGCCAGGGACCCGTGATGTGATCTAGAGCCTGAACCATGAGAGCCAGATGAATCATTCACCCACCAAGATCTCACGAAGTCACCCTTCTACTGAAGTGTTTGACCGCCGTCCGAGGACTCTTGCGCGACCCATTTATTGTCGTCGAGGAGGCTGAAAAAGGAATGAAAATGAACAAGAAATTCGGCTCATACGCTTGAACGGCCAGAATATCGGAAATCAACTTTTGGGGCAACAGACCTTGCTCACCTGAGACCCAAAGAGAACTCTCAGTGAGACATTCTTGATTCTTGATCTCTTTGGAATTCCGCGCCATCGGTTAATCGAGTCGTTCGGAAGAATTTCTTCCGAGGGAACGACGCGACGTGGTGATGAGCTCCCGCTTGGTCCTCACTGTACTCGTCTACGGGAGGCACTGTTCAGCGCTCGGGCATCTAGTAATGCAGCACCGGCGTTCGCGGCACACATCGTCGTTCGAGCGTCGCTTGCACTCTCCGACGACGAGCCTTCGTCGTATCATTCTGAACCGATGGACCATTCGAAATTCCTACACGTATCACATGTCGACTATTCAGACTTGACTCAGTTCAAGCGCTTTTTCGTCACCACACGGGATCGAATTTTGGCGTAAACTGATTGTGAGCCTTACGTGAATGCGGGAGAAGGAGGGAGTCTGCTTTTTTCGAGGTGCTTGCCGGAAGCGACTGGGACAACCACGAGAGGTGAGGCCTGAGGCCATGCGCTTCCGACTCATGGAGCGGACTCTGAGAGCTTGCATGCGCAAGAATTCCATGAAGCGAATAACACTAGCATCGAGTGATGTTCCTCCGCTACTACTCGGCCCAGTCCTGTCGGCATTTGAACTTTCGCGCCTCTCCCTGTATCTCCAAATAAACACAGATGAAGCAGGTCTTCGTGAAGAGAGAGAGAGTGAGGTGGAGACAGCGAGACTGCTGCCCGAGTCCGCCGCAAACATCTGACTCGCGGGAGCGATCTGTTATTTAATGTTTGTTCTGCCCCAAAAATGACGAGCAGTTCACTCCAATAATCGGATCTCTCGGAACTGGCAGAGGAGGGCGGTAAGTGGAATGTGGAGAGGTTGCTCCAGGAATTTCCGTGAAGCGCTTAGCGATGTGAGCTGACTACTGATGTCAGTGGCGAAGGCCGCCTCTGTGCAAGTTGTCCGCTCGGGAGTACTCACGTGTACTTCTAAATAACGTGCATGGCGTATCGGTGGAAGCGCACAGGCGTTAATGTGAGCTCACGACTTTCTCCTCGCTTCATCTTTCGACGGTACCTCTGAGAACCACCTTCCACTCCTCCTGATGGTGCACAGAGCATACATGTTCACCTTCTCTAGCGAGTCCTTGTAGTGGTCTAGCGGTTCACCTAGATGTCACTAGGTATGTTCCGCGTCGAGAGTGACGCGAGTCTCTCGAGAGAAGTCCTTGCAGCCCAAAGAACCGGAATTGCTTCCGGCTCCGGAGGATTTCTTCCAGAAAATTTTCCGAGCCTCTCCACGGAAATAAGTTTTCTCACGCAATAAATGAGCCTCCGGAATTCGATCTTGCGAGTTTTTCCCAGATGCCATATACGCGGGACCATACTCTGTACCTCGCAAATTGAGTTCTGTTCGGGTCTCGGGGACATCCCGCCGTACCTCCCAGTTATCGGGAAGCGCTGCCATCGAACTTTGTAACGACCGCACGGCTATATTCCGGGCACTCCGTGATTTAGTGCGTATGTCACTGTTCCATCTTCTGCTTCACGCACCAGCTGACGAGCCGAATCACATGCACTAGTTCCTCGGGTTCGACAAGTCATGCAGAATCATAAAGATAAGGCTCCTAGGCTGCAAGCTCAAAGCACTCATTTCTCGTTACAGATGGCGTACACGGATGATCTGCTGGAGAAGACCCTCGAAGAGCTCGAGAGATTGTCGACGGCCCCCTCGCCGAGAGCTCTCTTCGAAGATGAAGTTTACGCCAACAAAAACGTCAACGCACCCCGCCCAGTCATGTACAAAGTGAGCTCGAGAACGCATATCCCTTATCCTATGTGAAAAATTCATCAGTTCAGGTAGGATGTGAGTTCTACAATAGTCCGAAATCGCTTCGCTTCAGCCAATGCCGCCGATACCGAAAGAGGACCACATGTCCTTATATTCGAATGGGAGAATCTCCAGGCCTTCAGCAGATAGTCGAGCGTCAAATCCACCTCCTCCACCCGCGCCCTCGTCCGTCAAAGATTACGAAGTACAGGTTCGACTCCGCTTCCTGTTTCTTAGGCTTCTCACGTCTCAAAATATTGACATTTTCACTCTATTACTGTAGCTGAGAGCTTTCTCGATGGGAGAGCTCATTCTCATTAGATGACTCCTTGCAGAGCGATACTGGAAGTATCTACGAGCCCCTCAGGCCTCGCGCTCCTAGTCAGCTCAGTGGATATTCGGGATGTAGCAGCGCGTATTCGGGATCATCGTATTCGAACAACTCTAGCTTCAGAGGGTCTTCGTCTTTCAGCGATTACTATGGTGGGTTCCCAAATCGGGCGGGATAATGTGCTCTCTACCATCCACTTCCTATGAATTTCTCCTCCTAAGCTCGCAGTCTACATACATGATGTGTTCATTCGCAGAAGAAGAGTTGGGCGGTCCGGAAGAGAGTTTCCCCATTGGCTCTTGTGTGGTGTGCCATGAAGACGTCATGAATGATGGGTCCGGATGCAGCGCAATGGATAAAGTGGGTGATCGCACATGGGTCCATTCCTCGATGGAGGATCGTATTCCCATGGGAGAATCAGATACCAGAGTCTTTTGAAGACTTAACTATTGGGGAAACGAAGCATCAATCATTCTTGCAGGTTTATCACATCGCTTGTTTCAAGTGTCATGTCTGTAAGGTAGATCTTCAGGGAAGGCCGTTCTTCGCGGTCCACGGGGAGCCGTACTGCGAAGAGGATTATTTGGTGAGTCTTATCGTTCAGCGTTAGAGCTCGCTCCAGAATGCCTCCGAGGGATACCCGGTCAAGAACGTTCCTTCAGGAGTTTCCCGAGTTCGAAGTCGTCCCACCTTACGGAGAGACAAGCGAAGACCTTCATCTCGAACATTTTTTTCAGGACACACTGGAGAAGTGCAGCAAATGCCAAAAACCAATTTTGGATCGTATCCTTCGAGCAACAGGCAAACCCTATCATCCGGCGTGCTTCACATGTTCCGCATGTGGGAATGCTCTGGACGGTATTCCTTTCACGGTCGATGCAGCGAACAACATATACTGTATACCAGACTTCCACAAAAAGTTCGCTCCCAGGTCAGTGCTCGTCTCATTGGTCGAGATGTGTGATCTTACGTTAGATGAGTCGTTAGACTTCCCCAGATTCCACCAATCCAAGTCCCTTGAGCCCTCCTTCCCCTATTTCCGGTCTCCTCTACCAATTGGAGGATATTGCAGATGCTGCGTGTGCAAGGAGCCGATTATGCCTCAGGGAAAAGGAGAAACTGTGCGGATCGTGGCTCTGGACAGATCGTTCCACGTGAACTGCTACAAATGCGAGGACTGTGGACTCGTCCTCGGCAAAGAGAACGGTTGCTATCCTCTGGATGAGCACATACTGTGCAGAGATTGCAACGCTCGACGTGTTCAACGTCTCACTCAAAACCCCGGCGGACTAGTCACCGAGTTGTGAGTTGAGCGCGCACAGATATTTAAACGAAGCTCTAAGCGGGTCTTCATGATCACATCTAAGCGTATCTTCGGAGTCCCCCTCTGTGCGACGGATCGCGTCGACGGATAAGTGGATCATCTGGAGCTTACCATAACACGAAGCCGTAAACAATACCTGTCGAGGTTCTCCTGCTGAGAGGGTAGAACTTTTGTAATCTCCCTCGGCGAGGCCAGGCTCCGATTCGCGCCGAGTCTTTCTCTACCTAAATATTTATCCGGCTCTACTCTCCGAACTGAGGTTCTCTAGAGAGAGAGCGCCGTATGAACATCCACCGATCAACGACACAGCTAGTCATTCACGTGCATTAAAATGTGGAGTGCTCCGTAATATTTCTAACCATGGAGAAACATGATATCTTGTGGAAATAAAGGCTGTAGGGAATTGATGTGTGAAAAATGGCGTCATTGGATTCGAGACAACACCATGAGCCGCTGTAATGAGAGGAGAAATCAACATGAGGGGGTCGACTATTAAGACCACCGAGGAGGGCTGTTCGAATTGTTTTGGCTGTCGAACATTTGCATCGCTCTCCGAAATCCCTCGCTTCACCGTGGGACCAAGGTGGAGTCTCATATCGCCCCTTCCCATGCTGTCGCCCCCCGACTCCTCAGTGAATGAATACACAATTAATTATTAATTGTAGTATATTCGGACATTTCGCTTGACTTAAGCATTACATTTATCCTTTCTCACCATAATATTTGAATTCGTCTGTGTGACCCACACGACCCGGCGCTCACTTCCCATCCCGTATGTCGAAAAATCCGATTGCTTGCGAGCGCAATTCATCTATCATCGAGTGATAGATCGATATACACACAAGTTAACAACTCCGGAGCTAACAAGCTGCTTATATCCACATCACCATCCCTCTCGACTTAACAATTCTTAAACCCGTGCCAGAAACCAGAAACTGCACACCTCATCGTACCTGGGCATGATCATTTTCTACATGTTTAAGCATGCTAGAGGGATTCAGACATACATAGGAACAAGAATCGCAGGCAAGCTCGCGCTCCCTGATCTCACTCGCTCTCAGGCCAAAGGTTCTTGTAGTCGAGGGTTTCTTCATGATATCCTTCAGAGCGATAACGGGCACCGCCAGCGTCTCCGAATTCCCGTCTCGGTAAGCTGACCAGACCAGAGAATCTTTGAAAGCCTCCAAAAGCTTCGAAACTGAACCGGAGGGAGGCTTTCTCCGGCTAGCGGCGACGGCGCCACTCGCGTCTATTCCTGATGCTTTTTCCTTCGTGGTTTCCTCTGGATTTTGAGATTCCTCCTCACCGTCCGACGGCTCTTGCACAGATTCCCCCGCGGCTGCTGCCTCCTTAGTTTCGACAAGCTCATTCTTTGGTGCTTCGTCCGGCAATTCCTCAATATCAGCACTTGCTTGCGACAGGAGCTCGTCAAATATTCCAACAATAACTTTCAAGCGACCGTCATCAACCTTCCTCAGGGTCTTCCTCTCGAGTGCGCGGGACACTTGAAGAATTTTCGAGTGCAAAGTCCGCGCATTACAAAGCTCGTGCTCCTCGAGCAACTCCTTCTCTTCTCGAGACAGCAAAACTGGCCCAGAAGGACTCTGGATCGACTCACTCTCGGTCTCGGTGTTGTCGCCAGACGCAGCGTCGAAATTCTCTGGTCTCGTGAATATGGATTTCTCCGGGTTTCTCGACAGAATTCCCGATTCGGTGAACGATCGACTATCGACAAGAGCGTGTTTCTCCCCGTGGTGGCTCCCGTCCCGGGCCGAGATATTGCTCTGACGCGCTCCCGCTCTCGGTGTACCTCCAGAACAAGCGCCCAGCCGTGCGTCCGTCGCGGATGATGCTCCACAGCTAGAATCACCCTCTCCGAGAGCCAAATGCTCCTCCGAGTCCTCAAGAGCTGTGCTGTCGAGTCGTCTCCTTTTCGGTTGCCGTGCCTCTCGCGAGTCGGAGCGGTCGAGGTCGTCGTTTTTCTCGTCGAAAGAAGAAGAGGTCCTCTTCGCCAAGGTCGGACAGAATACTTCCGTTCTTTTACGTTTCCTGGATCCGTGAGGCAGGATGTTGCTAAGACAAACCCGTTCGGACTTCCCCCTGCACCTCTTCTTGGGCGCGTCAGTTCTCGCCTTGTCCGAGGCTGCATTGGTCGTCTGATCGCTCTTCTGCGAAGCGTTCCTCGGACTCGTTTGAGCAGACCGTCTCCCGCTCTCGGAACTCCCTCTAGGAAGGTTTTGCGAAGTTCCTCGGTCGTCTTGTCTGAAGGTGTCCTCGCTCGGTGAAGTCTCGCAATGATCAACTGCAGCGAACCTGACTCGCTTCTTGCTCGGAAATTTCTTCGCCGGGTGTCTCAGCCGAACGACTTTCGAGCCCCCGGAGGAGTTTTTCAGTCTCACGGTCACTTTCGATCGAGGTCCCCCCGCCGGAGACTGGAACCGTGTGGATTTCTGCTTCTGAACGAGGATGTCGACGTCTTCGTCATAAGGTCCATGGATACGACGGCCCCCTTGTTTTGAACGGTTTTGTGACGATCGTTGTTGGCGGCCCCTATTCTCGGGAGCGAACCGGGACGAGAGCTTCCCAACCGGGGATCGAAGTGCGACGGAGAGAGAAGCTTTCGATCTTCTATGGCGTCTTCAGGGCTCCCCCGGGAGGCCCCGGCCCGAGCCAGGAGCCCGCATCGAGGATCTTCGGGAGGGGAACCCCCTTCCGATTCCGTACCGTCATCGTCAGACGCGATTTGAGCTGCTGCCCCAGGTTCATTTGCATTCGATTCACCATCCGTGTTCAGCCATTCGCTAGGGTCTGGCAGAACCTCAACAGGTTCTCTGGAACCTGCGCAAACGCCGCTGGCCGCATCCAGAGCTAGCGATACGCTACCATCCGCTCCAGAGGAGTCCTGACCCCATGGGAGCTCCACTGAGCTATCGGCAGGGCCAAACTTGTCAGGTTGTACGTTGCGGTGAAGTGCGCATCGATTGAAAGGCACAGAGTTCCGACAATTTTCAGACGCAGTCTCAGGGAGGGATATTGCGCAGACTTCGCAAACATTTCCCGAAAGTTTCAGCTGATCCTGGGCCGGAGGCGAAAACCTTGCAGAGCGATCCTCTGAAGCCGCATAAGCACCGACATCGACCTTGAGCCGGGATTCGGCGCCCTGTGGTTTGCGAGGGGCGCACGTCGAGGGCTGGGACCGTGGGTCCAGGGGGGGTACGCTGCCGTGACTCCCCGTGAAGCGCAGAAGAATTCTCGGCACGACGACACCGCTCCGAGGATCACCCCGTGATACGTTCTCCCCGGGCGCCCCTGGGATCCGGACGGTGCAATCTTCCAGCCGGGGGTCGTTCGACGGATACATCCCCTGAACTGGTATCTGAGGCAAGGTTGAGAAGTGTTGCGGGTTGACGACCTGGTTTTTCATAACGGCCTGACCGCAGACATTCGAAACTCGGTCGATCTCCGTCACACTCAAGAATCCCTGGATGGCGTTCGTGAGCGGTTGGGCCGCTTCGTTGGACACAGTTGCGCTCCCCTTGTCCCAGTGAACTGCGATCGAACGCGAAGTACCGTTCGCCCGAATTGCGGTGACCGTGGACCTCGACGAGAACGATTGAACTCCTCGGATCACAGCAGGAATGTTCGAGTACTGATACGGGACAGCGATGTGCTGACTGGTGTGAACGATTGGCCCGCACGGATTCCGCGGAACGTTCACCGAGTTGTTGGCCACGGGTAGATAAACGAATCTCGGAGGCATGAAATGGATGTTGTCCGGTCGTAAGCTCGCATCAATTCGAGGAGACTGAGTAAAAACATATCGACCCGATTGATGGTGGAGGCCTCGATCGGGAGCAATCTGTATGTTGCTCGGCCCACCGACGTCAGCGGGCCGCAGAGTCCGACTTATTACTGGAAGAGCTCCTTTTTGGTAAGTGACGGGCGCAACTGTCATCGCCGGCTGCTTGCCTGCACTGGGTCCGTCGCACGTAGATTCGGCCTCTTGAGATGCGCTCGAAGGTCCGGGCGTCGCGTCGAGCTGCTTCGCGGAGTCCATCTGAATCCAAACTAACGGTGTCGAGTCCTCTGCGAGCGAATCTGCGCGCCTCGTGCGCAGCGATGTCTCTCGGAGGGAGCCGACACATTTAGACTCGCATAGGTCTTTTATCGCTTCGCAACGAGATTCCTCCCGAGTTTCAAAACGAGCAGGGTGAACGGGCAAGCACTATCGGAGGTTCGTAACTTCGGGGCTCAAGCGCGAATAGATTCATACACATGACAGCGAACAGACAATCCTTTCAGCTTGAACAATTTTCGGATTAGAGCGGCTTATCGAATACCAGTGTTGTTGTGAAAGTCCCGATTCCGCACCAATGCGGGCGGTCGACAGGAGGTTATTGGCGCAAAGTTTCAAAACGGCTCACGGTGTCTCATTATTCCGATTGACTATTTCGATATCCTCCGGCGAGGATCTATGTCGGATCGAGAGATACGGGGGTATTCGACGAATTCCCATCAATTGACCCGAAGTCTACTGTTTGATATGTTTGTGGTCCCTCGAAAGTACAAGCTATGGTCTATTGTTTTCTCTGAAGTCCTGCTGGAGTGTTTGCTTTTCCATCATTTTCCCTCCCTGCCAAAAATTATGGAATCTGAATGCTAAAATCAGGGGTCCTCTATTTCTAGCTCTCTATGCTTGGGCCAGCTCAGAGACCGGAATTCCCTCCCGGTTGGCCTGGAAGATCGCCTAGGGCGAACGAGCTGAGCCGGCAAGCGCGTTTCCTGCTGGATAATCACGAACGCGGTTTTCCGATCCGCTATGGTAGCAACCAGGGCTCTACATCAAGCTCAACTTCGGGGATAGGTTCTCGGTTCTGCATTCGAATCATGCACGATTGAGCCGAGGAAGCTCATCTGAGTCTTAGCGGCTGTCGAGATCGCGCGCCAGACATTGTAGCAGACGATTGTTCGTATTGTTTACCTTTGGTGCAGTCTAGGAAGATGATGTTCTGAGCTTCCCGACGTTCTGGGTTCTGGCAGAAGGCACTGTTACTTCGTGTTGTTCTGACAGCGGAATCCGTGGAGTCCAGGAAAGAGATCCTCCAGCATTCTGATAGCAGGTGAGGTCGCTGGACTCAAGGTCTGAGGTATTTCGTCTCCTCCGAGCTAGTGGCAGCGTTTGTCACCCCAAACTCTCCGTGAGATAAGATTGTACTTCGAAACAGGATGGGTGGAGCAGTTGACAGGCTGAAGATGTTGGGACTCGGCGACGGAGGTCTCCGCTTCTTTCGTTGGGTAGTCGGGAGCTGACTTCATTTTACCAGACTTCGCATAGATTTCGCCCCACATGTCAGTCGAAGCAAGACAATATTTCTAGTGACTCAGCTGATCCCCTGGACAGTCCCGTGGGTTACCGGAATCGGTCATTGTGCTCAAGTCGGGGGAGGCATATACGCCTCGTATAGTGTCTCAAGTTCCGGTATAGTTCCGAACCCAAAGAGTTTGAGGCCGTGTCGGAGGCGCTAATCAGCCTGTGCTCTTCGAGACGTTAAAAACCCTACAGTTTCCAGCTAAAACCACTGAGCCAGTATGACAACTGCGCTACAAAAAGGCATCGACACCATCGCAAAGGTATTCAGCGTTTCCGACTCTCGTTCGGCTGTAGATCTTCTGGTGATCTAACTACTGACTGACGATACATTATTACTATTGCTCGAGTCCCCATCTGACTGATCTCTCCCCATGAACCCACAGGCTACCGAAGAAGATCGGAATCAAAACTACCGCGAAGCCCTGCGACTGTATGAACATGGCATCGATTACTTCATCCATGCCATGCGATACGAAACGTCCTCAGAACGAGCCAAAGATTCAATCCGGTCGAAGTGCGAAGAATACCTCGGCCGAGCTGAAAAACTCAAGAAACATCTGAATCAGCCCAAGGAACCCGAGAAGAAAAAGGAGGTCAAAGAAGATGCAGGCAGCGATGATGATTCAGAGTGAGTTCGAATCGAAAGGGGAGAGATATCAGAGATGTGAAACCTACCTAATCTCATGAGAATTCGATTCACTCTGGAAGGCTCTATTGGTTGATTATATCAAGTTTCTGTCCGTAGAGAAGATCCTGAGAAAAAGAAATTGATGCAACAGCTCGAGGGAACTGTCCAAGTCGATAAGCCGAACATCAAATGGGAGGATGTTGCTGGACTGGACGCGGCCAAGGAATCCCTGAAAGAGGCGGTCATTCTCCCAATCAAGTTCCCGTTCCTATTCGAAGGTGATTCCTCAGCGATATGAATACCATTTTCACTGAGGATCCTGAGCATACTTGGAGACTTGGCATCTTCGGACTCGTCAAGTTTTTTATTCATGCTACAGGGAAACGGAAACCCTGGAAGGGAATTCTGCTGTTTGGCCCTCCGGGGACTGGAAAATCCTACCTGGCAAAAGCTGTGGCGACTGAAGCAGAAAACTCCACCTTCATCTCCGTCTCCAGCTCAAATCTCGTCAGTATCCAAGTTTATCCGGCCTATGCACGAGTGAAACTGATCCTCTTCGGGAACTTCCCTGTATCGAGATGCTAGAGAGTGTTCTTGCCCGCAGGTCAGCAAATGGCTTGGTGAATCTGAGAAGTTGGTGCGGGGTCTCTTCGAATTGGCTAGGGCGCGGAAACCCGCTATAATATTCATCGGTAAGTGTTGCTCCCGATTTGGTTAGATGATGCGATAGACGTGAGAATGAGGGGGAGAGCTTCAGTTTCACTTCCCGTCGTGGTGCCTTGCAGATGAAATCGACTCTCTCTGCTCAACGCGGTCCGACAACGAGAACGACGCAACTCGACGAATCAAGACTGAGTTCCTTGTGCAAATGCAAGGGGTGAGCAACGACAACGAGGGTGAGTAACGGCAGAGCGCTGGAACCCTTTTGTTGCTTCCATCCCTTCGGTGTTCCGACGCGATTCGACGATTAAAATCTATTCTTTCCGTAGGAGTTCTGGTTTTGGGAGCCACGAATATTCCGTGGATGCTGGATTCTGCGATTCGACGACGTTTTGAAAAAAGAATATACATCCCGCTCCCGGAAGCTCCTGCGAGGACAGCAATGTTCAAATTGCACGTTGGCAAGACTCCGAATACTTTGACAGAAGAGGTAGGCCCTCCCACCCATCGATCTAAGGCTCAGAAAGCTTGAGCACAAAGCGTATCATCCTAGCGGGCGCGGCTGCTATGAGTGGTGATACGATGCTCAGAACTAGCTTCGGCTTTCCAGGATTTCCGAACTTTGGGAAAAGAAGCTGAAGGCCTCTCCGGGGCTGATATATCAATCGTGGTGAGAGACGCTCTGATGCAACCCGTGCGAAAAGTTCAGACTGCAACACACTTCAAAATAGTGTCGGGACCAAGTCGATCGAATCCGGACGTTATAATCCACGACCTGCTGACTCCATGCAGTCCTGGAGACCCGGATGCGATCGAGAAGAACTGGATGGACGTGCCCAGTGACAAGTTGTGCGAGCCTGTGGTATGTTTCTGGAGCCTCGGGATCGCTCTTAAGCCATCCTCGTTCCTTCTGGCAAGAAAAGAACTACAATATCCCTCCGTGCTCACGATGTGTTCCTAACAATATATTTTGTTCAATTGCAGATGACGATGCAAGACATGAAATTAAGTCTCGCACAGACAAAACCCACCGTGAATGAAAAAGATCTTGAGAAGCTGAAATTATTCATGGACGACTTCGGACAGGAAGGCTGAGCGACGCTGATTGGGGAGCTCTGTGTCTCAGGTCGTCGACGAGAGTTTCGAGAGCAACATTGTACGCACTAGCCGCACATCTGGACCGACCATTGAGTTGTCGTCAGAATCGCGCATAGAGTTGTGGAGTCCATAGGGAGGCCCGATGTAGCATCTTCGCTGAGAGCTGTTTCCCGATTGACTGTGCGTCGAGAAACTGGCACGTGATTGTAAATTTTGAAATGTGAGGTCGGCGAGGGGGGCAAGCTATTGTTGCAAAGATTCATTGCATATACAAATTTGGAAAACTGATCCAGTTCGAATAAGAGAGCAGAGAGTTTTTCCGGTGCGGGGTGCACGGAACTTTTAACCAGGGACTCTACTAGCAAAAGATGAAAGGACTCCATATCTGAGAAAGGAAATGGGGAACTGCTTGGGAGAGCGTCGACGAACCCTCGGAAATTCGTCATCGTCCTCCCGTATAAATTGATGTTTTTCAGGAAGAATGTGTTCTCTTTTCACTTCGAAACGCCTGTTTTTCCATCGAGGGAGTCAGACTATAACTCCGACTGATATTTTTTCAACGAGTGAGCTCGTAAATCGTGGAGTTCTTGTCCGGAGAATACTTCTAGGAGTTGAGATGTACAATGGGAGCTTCGCTCGCTGTTTCCCGCTGAGCTTGACCCCGAGCGAGGATCCGCAGCCTCTGAGGATCTTCGACGCATGTCCCCGACGTCATACTATGTATTATGCACATAGTACATAGTCGGATGCTACATTCGAATCATGATGCATGGGCATTTGACCGATCGATGTAGATCGACAATACCGTCAAGTATTTTACCGATATGAGGTTCATCCGCCCGGCGGAATGCGGGTCGTAAATCCCCTTTCGGTTAGAGGCCTCAACACAGCGTTTCTTGACGACCGTTTGCTTATCCAGATGGAGGGAAAAAGAAATGTGGAATGAGGTAAAACCTCGATATTGCTTTTAATCGAGTCCCGCCAACGGTTCCGATCACACTTGTGTGACTTGCAACATGGTTCCGTTCGATCGCGCGGGCCAATTACCGTTACCGATCCGCTCATTCGATCGTCGTTTCGAAATCCGGCTTCAGCTCGGGCGATTGAAAAGAAGAATTGGTGAAGAGGACAACATGTCGCTAGAAAAACCTGCTGCTCCAGAAAAACAGTGAAGGTCTTGCGTGAACACCTCGTCATCCGACCTTGAGGTGCGCTTGTTATCGAGCAATTCTGAGGCTTTGCCTCATCGAATTTGTCCACATGACCTATACAGACAGACCATGTGGAAATCAAGATGGGAATTTCGGAAGTCCGACACCTACCGAATTTGGTCGGCTGAGGCACCCTCGATTCGATCGAGGCAGAGAATATCCTGGAAAGTGATCGCTTGCTGAAGGAAGAATGCGGGAAGTATTCTCCACATGAGAGGGAGGGGGAATGAGATCTCCTCGGAATTCAATGCGGAGAACTCGGTGAGACATCTTTTCATGACGTGAAGAGCGAGAATGAGCTGAGTCTCGGCGGTCTGCATAGGAAATTCAGTGTTCAAGGGTAACACTGATGGTTTGTTTCTGTAAATACTCCAGCAATTAGGGCAGCGATACATAACAAATAAGCTTGTACGCTTGTTATCCAATCATTCCAAAGGGAATGTCGGCGATAAGGGTGCACCTCACGATCGTGTTGGCGACTGCCGTCGCTCGTTTTTGATGTCCACAGATGTCACGACTTTCTTGTAGAAATACCCGCCGAGAGTTTCTGGAAGAACTCTGACTCAGAACCCTCACAAGCAAGAACCGGCTTGCAGCGCGTCGGGCTCTACATTCCAAGATTTCTACTCCGCACATATAAGGAATGCGTTTGAATAATCTAAGCGAGCCTTGCCCTCTTCCCTTCAGCGCCTCAGGCAGCTGCACGAGATCGCGGATCGGGACATTCGGACGGCTCGGACGAAGACATGAGTGCTCGTAGACTGTCGGATAAGAGGAACAACCCTTCGAGGCTCCATGTATTGAGGACTGAGGAGTCTTCTCGGAGTTCGATACCGGACGATCCGATGATACATATATGAAATGATCTGTCTCGCTCTGAATGGTTCCTCTAACATTATTTGCCATTCCACCATCTGCCCCAACGAGTCCAGACCGTCTTCCCAATGCGTTGTATCGCTACCCAGAGCCCAGTAGGATTGAAGCGGGGGCGAAACCATTCTGACTGAGTGTTATACAATCGCTGCTGAGCCGCAGCGTCTTCTTGTAAAACCACAGCTGTGACACCTCCCTCGCACAGTTCGGGGAGACGCCCCAACCGACCCTCCCTTGAACAACTGGAAAACCGACGACGCGACTCTACAACGTCAACAGCAGCGATCGACGAATACATTCGAAGTTTTCGAATTACCGTTCTCGTATGACGTTTCATGACGTGATATTCCGATGCTTGATAACGCACTTGCGGCTTATCGCAACTAAGTCCCTAGAATAAGGAGCCCATATCTTCCACGCGATTGGTGGCGCGTCAAGCAATCATGCATCAGAAGATGGACGTTCACGATGCTGCAGGTCCAGTCGCACGCGCCCTCCGAAGAAGCTTGAGAGGTCCGGCATTCGTTACACGAGCAGCGAGCCTTCGATTACTGCGCAGTGAATTGATTAATGGCAATGTCAAAACAAACAGCCGTCTTGAATACTTCGAATTCCTCAGGATCAGAATCTATTGAATGCCACCAGGGAAAGTACCGACAGGGACCGGAAGCGGCGGATTTCTTGACCGGCACAGGGCAGTGCTGAATATCTTCAAATCCCCAATGAAGACGACTTCGTTCGATGGGCAAATCTGCCAAACTTCCGATTATCGATCTGGGGCGTCCTTCTCCAAGAACTCCTCCGCTCGATGAAAAGGCAGGGGCTCCCTGTGAGGGAAATTTATTATGGGGAACTCGCTCTTCATCTAAGTCTACGGAGCTGCTCAACGGACGAAGCTTCCATTGAATGCATCCCGCGTCCCGACCCTAATCCTGCCTCATGTGATGAAGTGGGAATCAGGTGAAGACTGCGCCGTATCAAGCCGAACTCTCGGCGTATTTTCATCCTCCTAAGGCCAGCAAACCGTAGTCTCAAGCGCTGAGAGAGCCCCTCGCGGCGGACGTCGTTCCTGGTTGGTCGACTCGGCGATGAGCGTGTTGTTCGATGCTCACCAGCTCATATTGAATCGCAGTCGGCTAATTGCTCCATCTGGACACCTTCTCGACCAAGAGAGGAGCCCACATCGTAGATTCGCAAGTTCTGGCGGAAGGTAAACGACGTGGTGGCGGCGGCTCATACATCAAGGGGTGGGGGGGGGGGGTTGAGATTATCCTCGCCAGCGTCGCTCAAGATCTTAAATTTCCCGGATGGCAGAGAAAGCGATCGATGACTCACTTCTCGTGAACGATAAGGAACGACTTCTGTCTTGCTCGGTGCCTGTGGGAGGAGGAGCTTGAGTACAGCAGGGCTCAAGGTCGCATGTCGAGAACATGTTTCAAGTTTTATGTTCCACTTTGAAGGGAACTGCTCCGGATCCAGATTTGTGGGCCCGACTCGGCCACCAAGAAGCTTTCGCGCTCCCAGGGCTACTGAATCCCGACTCCATGCCATAAAGCTACATACATACATACGTCGAGTGGAGTGCTTTCTCCAATCACTGATTCTCGAAACCAAGAAGGAATCGTACAGGCAGAGCATCGAGTCTCACCCTTCGCAAGCGATAGAAATTCCCTCCCTCTTATCTCGGACTACAAGTGAGACCGTGGCAAGACTCCAGAACGAGTTAAATCACTCGATTCCTCTCCCGGATTTCAACTCAGAATAACATTCTATCCGTCGCATTTGAGACGCGGTGAACCGTGGATATTCTATAATTTGGAGTATCCTCTTGTATCTGTGAACGGAGCGAGACAGCTCAACTCCAAGGGCCTTCTTTCTGAGCAAAATAGACGATGATGTCTTGAGAAGTCCCACCGACTCGCATCGAAGGAAAACATTCGGAGGAGGCTGCGACTAGAGAGCGGCACATTAGGCAAACAAGAGCCGTGATCGCGGGTGCGGACTCGGTCTGGCGCAAAGTCGATCAATATCCATGAGCACGTTCGATGCATGACCACAAGAGCTGGGTCGTAGATAGATCAAGCTCGCGCCGCCTCAAGCTCTACGAGGCGGAAAAACTTCTCGGAAACTCTTCTCGTTGATGGGAAGCCGACTCAACAACGCGAACGGAGTGGCTCAAGCAGAAGAAATCTCAACTCGCGACTCGAGAGAGAACATGGCAGCGTCTTCCGAAAACTAGAGTCGACCATAGGTCGTCAGGAGGCGGGAAGTACGTACGAATCCAATGTTTTATTTCAAACTCAACCTTCTTCGCTTCCCAACGTCCGACGCAAGTGTCCGAATCGAGTCATGCATGGATTATTCCGGATCGATTACGGGCAAGGCAAGAACATCATCTTGTGAAGTGCCGGTCGGGTCTGGCTGTTGATTTGGAGAACATGCCGTAGGCTTCTCACTGCTTCAGTTGAGGAAAGGGCAGACGGAAAGAAGGACGTCATATAAAATCGAAGCGCGTAAGTTGTTCAAGAGGACTCTGGTTCGGCTTCATCCGTGAAGTACTTTTGCCGTCGACCAAGTGCTTCATATCTATAGGGAACTCTCCGGAGCTACAACATGAGGATACTTCTGCTGGTCGCAGCTCTCGTAGCTGGTGAGTGCCGACGTTAGAATAGGTTCTCCTAGAAAAGATTTCTAGAACCTTGATTGAGCCACTTCGGACCGATGACCGAAGTCCTTCTGCTAAGATTCTTGACCGATCCTGGCCCACAGTCATTGTCATAGACGAAGACTCGGGAGGGTGCAGGTCTTCAATTCTCTCACGCTCCATCGTCACGAATTCCGTTCGGGGCAACCTTGGAAATTAGCGGATATCAAATATGCCGCCTACCATATGCATCTACGGGACGGCGCAGATTCTCCCAGAACTCGAGTCTCAGGAAAATGATCATAAGGCTGATTGCCGAGTGAGCTATGCGGGATCCGATATCGATTTTGACCTCTCAAGCGGGGCTGTTTTCCAACTTCTCGAATTTACGCGAAGCCCCGCTGTTGTACCGAGCGCGGAGAAGGGCTAGCCTTCCGCTCCGAGCGACTGACTTCTGCAATGCTTACCGGGTACTCACCATCGAGCTGCCCATGATGTGTGTGAGCGCCGTACAGCTGCAGTGGGTAAAGCCGAAATGGTTCCATCGGATTCCCAGAGGGAGAGGGAGCTGTTCCTCAGTCTGTATCAGGAGGAATTTTGAAAGGTAGCCCACCTCGAGAGACTTTTCGAAATGTAATCATTGCGCGTGAGCGACGTTATCATCCGCACATCGGTATTTGCCAGTATCTGGCCATGCAGGCACCTGTCCGCTCTGAACCAATGATATGGCGGTTCTGATGATAATCTATCGGGACTTGCTTGTGGCTGTCCGTAGTATCCATTTTCTTTTTCATTTGCACTGCATCAAATGCCGTGTCACAGATGCGGTCAAGGACAAATCACCGCCTTGAACATTTTGAAGCTGCCGAGACCACGTGCAATCATGATTCCAACTAACTGAGTCGATTCTAATCACGAAGAGTCAATGACTTGATTTCTTCGCCTTATTCACCGTGTTTGAAGGGAGCCGGATAACTATCAACTGACTCTTCGAAAAAGTCACCGAGAGTCCCTCACTGAATCCTCGGCTTCGGCATCCGTCCAGCGAAGAGTTCTCCCGGTTCTCGTCCGCCGTACGCGACTCTAGCAAGCCGCTCGGGGACGTTAAAATGCTCGGACCGTATCTTGGAGCAGGAAGGGACATTCAGCTATCGATTTCTGTGATTCAAGCTGACAAACTGACTCAAGCCCAAGCTAAGAGGAAAAGGAAGCATTAAGAGGTCACACTGGGGTCACCTCATCTTCACCACTATTCGGATCCGGACGCCCCGGTGTTATCTACCGCCTGGCATTCGACAGGGGTCCGTGGCATTTTCACGGGAGTTCGTTCGTTACCGAGAAACACTACTTTTCTGTGGTTTTGTATTCGTGGAATATCTCGGTATGAGAGGTGCCAGTGACTGAAGTGCTCTGGACGGTACTAATTGATGTCCGCACCCTATGAGGAACCTTGGCCTACCTAGAGCTGCCGCTCCCCCGACGGCCGGACCGAGCTTTACATAGATATGTGCATTTGAATTTTATGGCGCGATCTTTGACACCATTGCCAGTCGATTTCTGTCAGCTTCCGATAACTTGTGGCGACGATTAGGCCCACCGAAGCGAAAGGTCTTGGGCTGGTTTCATTCAATATCCCTTCCTCATCGAAATCGATCTGGTCTCGGGGGTTCAAAGGACAGTCACACGCGAATCGCGGCTCTACAATCATCATCAGGGCTGAAGATTTTTCGCGGACCGCCATTTTTCCGCGAATTTTCGCGGAAATTTCCGGCTGCTCCTCCTTCTTCGCGAAAGATCTTCAGCCCTAACCGTCATGTCCGCCGTCTTCACCTTCCACGGTCTCTCTAGTCAAAACTTTTTCGGGCTGATCCACACAGCCAAGGTTTAACGTCCCGGGTACTGTTATTCACTCTCTAGTCTCTCTAGTCGCTGAGCGAATACTCCTCCAGCTACTGCGACTCATTCCGATGGTTTTTTTTCAGTGGCTGCGAGCACCACGATCTCAAATCGACGCGTCCGTCGTCAAAGCAAATCCGATGACAGCCAGAACGACGAGGAGCTCTGCAAGGGGAGACCACCGTCGGAATATTTCCGGCTCACGGCCGATGAGGATTGCAGAGACGTGGTGCGGTGCTCAGTGCAGGGCCTGCTCGCTCTCCGGTGTCCCTCTGGTCTCGCTTTCGATATCGAGAAGCAGACCTGCGACTGGAAAGCGAATGTCAAGAATTGCGAGCAGCTAGAGAAACCTCGTTTGGCTCTCCCGTTGTTGGCGACAGATGAGCCGATCTGCGAGAGCGGGAAACTGGCTTGCGGAGATTCCACTTGTATCGAAAAAGAAAAATTCTGCAACGGGGTACCAGATTGTAATGATGGCTCTGACGAGAACGTATGCACCCCTGATAAGGATCCCAACCGCGCCGAACATTGCGATACAGCTCAGTGTCAGCTCCCCGATTGTTTCTGTTCGAGCGACGGCACGCAGATCCCAAACAAATTGGAACCGTCTACCGTCCCGCAAATGATCACTATAACTTTCGACGACGCTATCAACAACAACAACATCGATACCTACGACCGAATCTTCAAGGAAGGCAGGAATAACCCCAATGGATGCTCAATCAAAGCGACTTTCTTCATCTCGCACAAATATTCAAACTACTCGGCCATCCAGGAAATGCACCGAAAAGGACACGAGATGGCGGCTCACTCGATCACGTAAGTCAATTATTGTGGCAATCTCCTAGATAGCTTCAAATGTATCGGGGAGGGGGGGGCAAAGAGAGGGTAATCGGTGTGACTTGAGAAAATTTTGGTAAGAGCGATGATGAACTACCGGCTCAATCTCTCCCTTTCATTATTTTGCAGTCATAAGAACGACGAGAAATACTGGTCCGACGCTTCTGCCGAGACCTGGGCCAAAGAAATGGCGGGAGCTAGACTCATCATGGAGCGATTTGCGAACATTTCCGACAATTCTATAGTGGGTGTCCGCTCGCCCTATCTCAGGGTGGGAGGGAACAACCAGTTCTTCATGATGGAGGAACAAGCCTTCCTCTACGATTCGACGATCGCTGCGCCTCTTTCCAACCCACCGCTCTGGCCATACACTCTGTACTTCCGCATGCCCCACAGATGCCACGGTAACGGTCAGAATTGTCCGTCGCGTTCGCACGCTGTCTGGGAGATGGTCATGAACGAGTTGGATAGAAGAGATGATCCTACCTTCGACGAGGAGCTCGCAGGTTGTTCGATGGTTGACGCGTGCTCGAATATCATCTCTGGCGAGCAATTTTACAATTTCCTAAATCACAACTTCGAGCGTCATTACAAAACGAACCGCGCGCCTCTCGGACTCTACTTCCATGCGTCCTGGCTGAAGCTCAACCCGGAGTACCAGGACGCCTTCGTTCAGTGGATCGACGAGATGCTCGAGAAAAATGACGTCTATTTCGTCACCATGACCCAGGTCCTCCAGTGGATTCAGAAGCCAACTGAAATCAGTTCGATCAATCAGTTCGCCCCCTGGAAAGAGAAGTGCGAGGTCAAGGGTCAACCGATCTGTTCTCTGCCAAATGCCTGCCCATTGACCACCAGAGAGCTCCCGGGAGAAACGATTCGTCTCCACACTTGCGTAGAATGCCCCAATAACTACCCATGGGTTGAGGACCCCACCGGTGACTACTTTGCTTTCAGGAAATAGAAGAAAGTTCGTGGCGTCGATTATTATTATTCATACGACCTCCAAGCCTCTCAAGGATTAGTCTTGGCGAAGCGTAAGATGCTCGCGAAATAGTGTCTGGCAACTACTGTATATAATTTCAACACAAAGAGAATGTCGCCGGGAATACCAAATCAGCCATATATCTGGAGGATGTATGCTGAGCGAAACGAGAAGCTTCAGCCTTCAGACTCCGAACGCCTATGCGAACTTGAGAGGAATAAACTAGAAGAGGATCACAGTCTCGTCCGGAGATATTCTACTTGTGACTTTATTCCCCGAGCTTCCGTGGAATCCGCTCCCCTTTCAAATCCAGCTCATAAAAAATAAGCTGATTCCCGATAGCCGAATAAGCGGAGATGCCCTCCAGAAAACTATGCCCGAAACTTTCATTAAAGGATAAAAAGCTAGCGGGCTGTGGGGGCCAGTTGTCGACACTGCCGGTGGCCCTACGACATGTAGAATCGGTGCATCAAGGACCCGATTGCATAATTATACTAATATTCCAATCCGTCCACGCTCCCACGGCTACGGTGAGCGTTGAGACACCCTGAGAAACCATATCCCCATAGTCGGCGCCAATCACGAAATCTGACCAGCAAGAGAAGTCATTAAACTCGGCATGAAACATATACGAATTTGATACGGCAACATAACTTACTCATCAGCATTCTTTGGGCCTGAAGCTATTCGATAGCATCCTGAATCACTCTCATTTATCGTGGAAGATCTTCATGGTTCCCCAGTCTACACTTGGTGATCAAGCTCTGGATCAAAAGTCCCCGAACCCCCGATGCATATGATACATACATATGATACATATGATACATATGATACAAATGATACATATGATACATATGATACATATGATACATATGATACATATGATACATATGATACATATGATACATCCGGGTACAGACCCAATGATAGATCAGGCTCTCCGTTCTATCGTAAGTTGAGAGCGCTAGACAGGAAATGACATGGGGCAGCAATCGTCGACCCAGCGGAGGGACTCGGGCTCTGACGTAGAATTCTCGTCGGAGAAGCTCCCGAGGCGTATTCTTCCCACTGTAAATTCTCCGAGGTAATGGAAGATTTCGGTTTGAGGTTTAGTAACTAAGCAGCGCTCTTTATTCTGTACATATGCATCTCATCATCCTCGCATGATTCACGGGTTTCCTGTGTCAATAGCAAACATCATCGAGACTACGCGATGGTAAGTCACGGCAGGTGTCGTCGCCTAATTCTGCTCGCTTGTATCACTACGCCCGCAGAGACTTGATTCCTGATCGCCACCACAGGCCTGACGAACACTCCGAAGAGCGTCCCTTTCCATAGGCTCGGGGCTGCTGCCAGGGAAATCTGGATGAGTGCACTCATTCGACCGATCGTAAGGATTTTTAATGGTTGCCTTCAACATCCGTTGAACATTTCCTGATGCATCTTTTGCCTCGCCGTCGCTATTTCCGGGATGCTTTTGCAACACAGGGTACGCGCCGAGACCACCGAGTTTCACCCTCTACTTGATGTCCGCATCTCGACTATCAGGCATGATCGCCTTCACGCATGCTGTGCTTGCAAAGGAATCATCCGCGACCGGCCTATTCGGCCGCCCGCCTCGGACGCATGATCTCGATCTCTCCATATCCGCCCCGCGAGCCTATTAAGCCACCGAGCGGATCAACTACAGCAGTAGATTTATTTCGTATCGTAATATCGATCCGCGTGCTGCTTATTTCTTTTCCCTCTCGCTCCGTAAATATGTTCTGCGTATCCGCTTCATTATGTATTTTCCATCGTACCTCATCATCGCCATCATAAGACTTAACAACAGAGATTGATTATTTATCTCTCTTATATTTATATATAATAACTGTATACTCATGTAATAATGTTCATAACACGGATGAAATGGGCTGTAGAAGCGAGTGATTCGACCAGCAGTTGCCCCGCTTGCCCACCGGAAAACTTGGTTGATGATGCGGTCTGCTCGATGATGTAGCGGCAGATACAATCGCAGCGACAACAGCTGCACTTGTTTCCTCACTCCAATGGCGAAGGCAATAAATCAACAATATATCGTCAAGCAGCCTCCACCGGCATCAAATCGCACGATGGAGCGATCCCGAACGCTCGTCAATCATCCAATCAAGGTCTTTTTCGTCACCTCCAAGTGACTTCTGATCTCAGAAATTATCCGGATCTCCCTCTGGTCCAGCAATTCTCCGCTCCTGATCAAGTTTCAAATCCATCTGCCCATGTTGCTGGGCTGCTCGATCTACGACGGCCGACCTGACGCGTTGATATCGAACGTATTTCTCAGAGCTTTCAGACTTCCCAGAGGGTGAGAAATTCCATAACCTTCTCCAATCGGTTTACTCGCTCGTTTGCTTTCACGCGCTCGGGAAATTCCAGTATAGCTAAATCACATTCTATCATCTGTGCAGACTGCGCTCACCGTCGACACATGCATTGAAACCCCATACACACCGTATCCACTCATTTTTACGACCTATTCCCATCCACATGACGGTATCATTCAAATTTGACGAATCTACTATCGGCCACTGAAATGAAGTCTCCGTTTATGCACCCACATCGGGTGCGAGACACGATTGGGTATTCAATCAGTGGACTAGTGTCCCACCGTTCGTCACGGGATCTGGGAGCTCCTCGATTAGATCGCTGCAGACTCGGAATCTGTACGACGGTCGTGGCTCCGACCGCTCACGAGTCGCGGCCTTTCCGAGGAATGGGATGTATACAATGTATATTCAAATGGGAAGTCGATCGACACAACTGCCGAATCGACTCGTGTGGAAAGGAATCTAACCCGTGACTACCGTACCGTGGATCAGCTACAGCCGGGGCATCCCAATCGAGTCGTGCGGCGAATGCCACCGGATACAAATCAGTTTCTCAATTAAATGAAATAGGGATCATGCACTCTCACCTCGATAGATCAATGGTTTGAGAGTTATCGAGTCTATCGAAAAGTCATCACGTATCATACACGTATGTTTACATGAACGCAAAGGAGTTTGCGCGAAATGCATCGAGCGGAGAAGTCGGAAGGGGCACTCAATGAAGCTCCGCGGAAGTTCCGACCCTCCGAGCGATTCTCAAAACATTCATTCATCCATATAAGCCATGGATCGATCAATCAATCCTCAATCATCAATGATCCAACTCAACAAAGAATCTCCGACACGCGCTCCGCAACAGCATCGATCAGCTGATCGAGTCCCGATCGAACGATCGAATCGATCGAGATCGTCAAGCCTAGAGCTGCGCAGCGCATCTGTTCCTTCCTTGTTGACGAAAAAGAATCTCATTCGAAATGATCCCATAATGGTTCTCGAGGCAATAGAGTTTAGCTAAATCGTCGTCCCGTCCTAGCGACGAATCCATTCACCCGCATCTGTGAGGTGGCGCAATTGTTCAGACGTTCTAGAGAGCATATCAGTATCGCAAGCTGTCCTGCTACCCTATTTATACAGCGGATACCAGGTCCCGTCTTCCAGTGGAGCGTGTTTCTCTCTTTGTGATGCTTTCGGGACAGACTGGATATCCTCCATTCAACCTCATCCTCTCAAATTGTGTGTTTATTCTTTATGGCGACGAGGCAAAAGAGCCGTTGCCATTGCCCCGCTGTCATTGCAACGCTGAAACGAGAGTTGAGAGAGAATTATGGAAGTGTCGACACGGTGCGACTTTCCCCGAAGCAGAGTGCGGATAAATTCTCTTGGAATCGCACTCTCGGTGCTCGCATAGTCAGCTGCTAATCACCGAGCACCTACTTAAAGTTCCATATCCTTCGTTATCTGATCCGACGATGATCCTCCTGTATCGTCGTCGGAGAATTCACTCATACTCGACTCCGAGTCGGAGTCACCTCCATTACGTTCAGACTCCGAGCCGAACGTACTCCGCAAGGCGTCCTCGGTCGCGTACTTTCTCACGTATTCCTGGACCTGTAAGGATAAGTTCGGTCAGGAATCGGGGCTCTGCGAAAAATCTTCCCAGCTTGGAGTTATAGAATCCGGATCGGTGACAAGTTTCTCTGAGGAATTAGGACTATCGTTCCCGACCGAAAGACCACCCTAAGGTCCTTCAGCATTATGTCCTCGATGGCCCCCCGCCGTTCACTGAATCCCTCGAAGTCCCGCGCACCCTCATGTACCCTGGGCATGGTGCGCTCCGGGAATCACAGGCTTGGGACGTAGTTCTGAGGATCGAGGAGTCCTGGACTATGGCACGATCCCGTTCGAGAAGAAATATTGGAGCGTTCGGTGGGCGGGAACGCAAATCGCATCGGTCGAGATGAACAAAAGTCTGTAGGCAGGATGTCATTCTCCAGTGCCCATTCTTCTGTCGACATGACGACGACGTCAACGACAACCCTTTCCCAAGCGACGTGGGAAGCCGCGGGAAAGAGTAAAGGGTTCGCTTTATGGAAGCAAATTGACCGGAGTCGGGACCGGCCGAATTCTATTCACAATAGTCCCAAAAGGACTCCGAAAGCAGCACTGGACTCGCGAGACCCCGATCATGTAGGTCGAAGATTCGAATTCCAGACGCATACGATAATCGATGTTGAGAAAAACAAACAAGAAAGAGCTATAAGTACCTTTCGCTTGTATTCATCAGGTTTATGGAGGCATATGGCGGCTGCCTCGCCGTTCAGTGGGTCTACGGGGTTTGGGTAGGTTAGCAGTTGCGGGAGGAATGACTCGAAGATATTCGTCAAGTCATACAGCGCGGTCCAGGCCTGGAAGAAACCGAAACACGATGACTAATTTTCAGCATCGAATCATTATCTCGTGGAAATAGTGACATCATCGTCCATTCGCATTTCAAACGACCTATCCCGCCGCGTGGCTCGGCTCCGCGAGCGAGCAGACGGGAAAATGTATGAGGCTGATTACGCAGCCGGGGGAAGTTCTTCGCGCACGATATCGAGTTTCTCGCATGGGGTTCCCCCATCGGTCTCAGGGAAGCACACGGTGCTTCAGCCCTGATCAGAGAATCTACCCGAGCAATGATCATGTTGAGGACTCAGATGATGTCGATCGCAGCCCCGGAGCGTAGGGAGGGGCCGACCACGGAGTATAGGAATCTTCATCGAGATCATCACGAAAAGCGGATGAATGGAAGAAACCGTGAGATCGACAAAGGCTTGTGGGGCTCCGATGAGAAATGTCCAAACATTTATTTGATCAGAAACATCCGCTCTCGAATCTCTCACCTGATTTATGACGTCGAGGCAAACAGTCCCGGATACTTCGTCGATATTCGGGTGATAGATTTTGTTGGTGAAGCCGATGGACGGAGATTTGAATGGGTATTTGTCTGGTAGATCCACTCGCACTTTCCAGACGCCACCTAGGAACGTAAACACGTCGAGGGTTAGCGGCCGGCATATTCGACAGCACACAAGGAAAGTACGATCCCAATGATCACCGGTTCGGCAATGCCGAGTTCTGTCGCTCGATTGTAGGCGTCGCTTCTCCGTCTAAGCCTTTTCCGGAATGGGTTCTGTTGCGGGATGAAGTTCCTGAATTCGGAACTTCTGGGTTCCTGATTCCTCTGGAGGATTCCGGGATCACGAGGAGAATAGCTTCGCAATCTCACCTTCATATGGCGTTCCTTGTGGTCCGAAGAATTTCACGCAGAACTCGTGGAGGCCACCGAGCAGGGTGACTTCGTGTTTGCTTTCGATGAGTTTAATCACATCTGTATCCATTCTCCGTTTTCCTGCTATTGGCGACGACATCTTGTAGTTTGTTTGGGGTTTGGTTCTTCGGATGAAGCTCGCTACGAGATCACAGCGAGCTCCTCCTCTTCGAGCCCGGACAACAGCACTTCTGCAAAGAAACTCCTCTTTCAGACGGATGATATCACCGATTCCATCATTGGCACGTACCGTCGAACGGTATGTCTAGATTATGTGCCCTAAGATCCTAGGTACAGCTATCAGACGCGAACAGCTGCCCACAGGTTGCTGAGTTTAAATGTCCACCTAGCAGATGTTCTTGTGCGTGTGCGTCCTCGTTCGTTCGGACCCAGAAGCTCTCAAGTCGCTGTTCAGAAGACTCCAGAACGCATCAGGGAGGGCAGCAGCACCACACTAACTGGATCAGCGACTGCTGATGCGTCGACAATAACGACGACGACGGTATCCAGCACACAACACCGGCGAGGATGATGACGAGGAGAATCGAGTCGAAGATAGCTGCGGGACGCGATGCTTTTAGCTCTCCCGATACCCGTAGCTTCCTATGACTGAATCAAGAGGGAGCAGCGACCAAGCGAATCGCCGAGAAGGATCTCCGGACCCACGTACACGTAAGGGTCTGATGTTGGAGGAGAGAGCACCTCGAGCCGGACTAACCTAAGAAGGATCTGAATAAAGGCGACAACCGAAGCGACTGATAAAGTTCTCCAAGGTAGCCACAAAGCAGCGAGTAGTTCTTCTTCCCGGCTGACTGACTGGCTGGTTGGCTGATCGCCGTGGTGGTGGTGTTGGTGACTTTAGCGCAGTAGCGGAGGAGGTGGAGAGGATGAGCGTTGCCTGACTGACTGACTGCCTGCCTGCTTGCCGCGGCTGCCGGCAGCTAGCCAGCCACTCAGTCTGTCGTCCAGCCGCTGCAGCAAGGAACACCAACAACGACGGCGACGACGACGACGACCATGATGGCCGCTGCCTGCTCGATGGCTGTTAGATGACCGACCGGCAAGCCTGTCAGTCAGTCGGTTTGCTTGCTTGCTCGCTTGCTTCTGCTGAGAGAAGGAAGCAGCGGCAGCACAATCACCACCACCGGCCGCGGCATCATCATCATAGCTACACGGAGACGCACCGACAGGAGAATGGGCGAACGAGCGAAGCACCAACCAAAATATGACCCAAATTCAAGCGACAGCTGTTTCGCGCTGGGCAAACCAACTTCGCCGTCGAGCTCTTATTAATGTTATCTAATGATCGCTCGAAGTTATCTAAGTTACTGTTGGATTGCTTGTCGTCGACGTCGCAGTCATCATCGTCCCCGGTTCCCAGCTTCGCTCATTTTCTGTCATCGTCGAGGCGAGAGCATCCACTCGCGCGACAATGGGCAAGCTCAGCTGGGCTCGAGACTGAGAGCTATCGCTTGGGAGAGGGCACTTCGCGTGCCTGCCTGACTGCCTGTCTCCATAAATGTTTCCAAGCGGCAATGCCGTCTCGTCGATGAATGTGGGGATATTCGAGTACACAACCGAAGTCCGACATGTTCTGATCAGAGAGCGAATTCATCCCAGTCAGGAACGCTGCTTTCCAGAGCTCGGTAGAATTTGCTCGGAAACGCCTCGTGTTCCGCCAGAAATATGCGGGGACTTCTGAAACGTCTTCCGGGACCGGAGTCCGATTCAAGTGGCAAGGTTCCGGAAGTCCGCGACAAGCCTCGATGTGGACTCTCTAACAGCTGCTGGGCAGCGGGCTAAACGGCTGAGCAGAGACGCAGAACGCTCACGAAAACTCAGCTAGGAATCGGTACGCGCATATGTAAATGCGCAAAACGTTCGATTGAAAATGGACCCATGAGCAAATAGAGAGTTATGTACCGATTGCATCGTAGTACTCGGTGCGCGGTGAGCAGAACGAACTTACGGGAGAGGGGTGCCTTGCTTGCCCTAGATACCTTGACCCTCCCAGCTGATCTTGTTGTATCGAGTTGAGGTTCTCTCCGCGAAGCGCAGCACTTTTCCTGAATAATCTGTCACCACTGGAGATTCTTCGAGAAACTTCAACGCCAACAACATCGACGCCATTCTGAAGATTGCGACGGCTGGACCGAAAGTGTGGGCTAACTTCGGGTTCAACGATATTCCTCTAAAACAACGCAGTAAGAAGAGAACGACGACGCCATCTACTACTCTCCCTCACTCGCTCGGTTGTTCGCTCAGTCAGTCAGACGAATAGCCAACCAGGCAGGCAGAGAGGCGAACGAGCGAGCAGGCGAGTGAGAGAGAGAGCGAGCGAGCACTCAGTCAGCTGCTTTTCGACCCGGATAGGAATAGGAGGAGCACTTCACATCATGATGATGATGACGACGAAAATAAAGCTTATCGAGCCCAATGTGGAATTGAACTTCCAGCTTCCGCTATGTAGCAGTGGATTTCGAGGGAAACGTTTCAAGATGTCTAAAATCAACGATTTCTCCCAGAGCCAAAGGGCACCTAGGTTCGACCGGTGGCAACAGACCGACGAAGCGACCGACCGAGTTTCGACCAGAATCGGTATTCTCGAATGCTATTTTTCTAGCTTCGCTCGGGGCTGTGGGAAAGTAAGCGAACTTCTCCAGCCCCAACGGCCGATAAAGCGGATTCACCCTTGAATTATTTCATTTGAACGAGTTTTCGTGTGAGTGTGTGCGATGTTCTTCTGGGGGAGTGCGTATATGCTCACAGTTGAAACGCAGGACGTCGGGGTGCTACGAATCGTCGCTTGGGCCAGATGCGTCGCAGCAGTCTTGTCGGGTGTGGAGCGCAGAGGTATGCGAGTCGGTACTCGTCCGGTGGCCCGTATTGCTCTTTTGCTTGTTGCCTCTGTTGCAAGATGTTTCTGCGTCGTGCAGCACCACTTATCCCGAGGATACTTGAGAACGGCACGGCAGTCTGAGCTGGGTCGTCACACACAAACAGATCTCAGTTCACACTCGTCAGGCGGATGAGTTCATTGATTTTTCTGTTCGATACTTGACGATTTCTGCCTCGAGCAAGGACAGTGATTGTTCCGATGTACGTCGACGGCAACCAACGGAAGAACAACCAGTCAAACAGTCAGTCAGTCAGAGCCAGGTAGCCACCAACATTAGCAGCAGCAGCAGTAAGCAGCGACCAACCAACCCATCCAACAGCTGATGTCGGCGCATGCGCACCAGCGATCGGTAAGAGAATTCCAAACCCTCACCACCCAGCGGCAGCCCTGCTGGTTTGCGGCTGCATTGAATGCGGCCGCTGCTGGTTGCCTTCTCATCGCCGCTCTACGACGAACGAGCCGCCCGCGTATGCTTGCCCAGCAGCAGCTACCGCCGTTGGAGAATCGGAGGAATAAGCTCCTGCGGCGGGCGGCTCATTGGGCAGGGGAAAAGCGGGCTCATTCTATCGGCGGCTGTAAGAAAAGCCTGGTCGCCAGCAATGGTAACCAGCGCGGGAAATAGTTAACGCTGTTGCCAGTGCCAAACGAACGGCCTTAGAATTTCTCTTTCCAGTGCCCTGGCCGCGCTGGAAACGGCGGGGCAACACAGCCAGGCGATCGTTGAAGGGACAAAACCATCAACGGACGGACGGTCGGAAGGACAGACAGACAGTCTGACGCGGCCTTCCACTACTTTCCTGTGGTAGTTTCGTTTAATAGAGAATTTCAACGCTTTCGGATGTAGTCTTCGATTCTCTTGGAGTCGGTCGATGTTCGGCTCCGGCTCGAACTCCAGAAGCTGAGAGTCTCCTCTTCACCATTCGCTCTGATTATCCCACCAGATCTCATCACGATACGAAGCTCTTGTTCTGTGAGCGAAGATTGTGGGACAGGGGTTCACACAATCAAGATCTACCGTTTCGAATCTTTCGACGGCTTGTGGGCCGTCCATCGTTCGGTTCAAAATCGCTTCTGATTGGGGATTGCGCGAACGCAGTAGAGCTCATGTACCCAGTTTCGCTCCCGGTCGAGTCGATCACCCGTTTCTATGGAATATATCCGCAGCATACGATGGCGAGAGCCGTATAATAGTCCAAATGTCAGTCTATGAATGGCTCGAGTAGCGGGAAGTGTCAGTAGGAAAAGCATCCGAGGGAGGCCGAAGAATCACGAACATTGGTGAGCTGGCGGCAAACCGGAGCGTTGTGGAATCACTCATCAGCATCAGATAAATAGGTCGATTAGAATCAGAGACGCTCGGCTGTTCCGGACATCCAGATTCGAGTGGACATAAACTTCTTCAAACGCTTCTGTCATTGAAATCGACTCGAAGCGAGGTCCATTCTGTCGCCTTCGAGTATCTCGGCGGAAGCCTCGGGGGTTTCGATGACTCGTTCCGGCACGGCAAACATCAGAGATGACCCTGTCCTCTCTAGCCCGATGAATGGTTTCACTCAGGCTCTGAGCGGATAGCGGGTGACCCCTCAGAAGTCTTTTGGAGGACCCGTCGATTGATGGGTCGGAGCTCGCTGCCTGAAGAACTGTGAGTTCCGAGGCGGGATCCGGTTTAGAGCACAGATATCGCCCTGTCGCGGGGGAGAATGAGCTCTCGGTAAACACTGTTCTCCAAGTGAATCCAAGAAGCAGCGGGCACATCTCCATAATCGTCGCCATGACTCTACCATCACTCCAGAATGTAATCTGGGTATCGAGCTATACCAGCGAGGGAAACTTGTTCACTTTCATTGGGCCACTGCCAGAAAAAATGCTTCGTCGGTCGCTTCCGATAGTTCCGGAAGATTCGTTCGTGTCTTCGCGCTTCTCGAGCGAAGAAATCAATCGGCTGCAAGCTGAGACAATCGAGTCGTTTCTTTCCGTTGTGGCGGATGCCTCTCTTACCGTTCTCGAGCGGGCAATCGTCTCCCGTCAGTTTACAGCAGTTTCCTCGACGGAATCGTCGGCGGTCCCGTGGTACGAATAAGCTCAGCGGTGAGAGAATCCAGGACCGATTGGATGTCCAGCCGTTTCACCGAAAGAGCCGGAGTTGGTCCAAGTGATCTTGGAGAGAAAATGCTCGCTTTCTTGACACAGACCGACTCGCCGGAAATATTCGCGAACAATGGAACGGCACTCGTCGAGCGATGGCGCAATCGACACAGAATTCGTTCCCTTCGGATATCTCGGCGAGCTCTTGTCGGTCGCCCACTCGCCGTCGAAAATTTATAACGCTAATTCGACGCTGACCCCCCGGACTGTCCTTGGTCCTCGAAAAACTTCAGGACAGTTCTCGCCGAGGAGCTGTTCTCGCAGACGGAGGACGATTGCCACGGGCGATGAAGAGCGGAAATTTTGTATGTCAGGCAGGTACGAGGGCTTCCGCGGTAGCCCCCGAAAACAGCGAGCTCCTTCGAGTAGAATCGGGATGCAAAAGACGCTCGGAACAAATCCCGAATTCTGGAAGGGCAAAACTCTGGGTGGGATTGAGGAAGAAGCATCGACGAAGACGAGACTGTCTAGGCATCGAGGCATTCACAACCCGGGGAATCCAAGTGCCGACCTTGAACCTGATCGATGGGGAGTATGAAAAATGAGTTTTAACGCCGAACGGGATCCTACCCGTTCCATTGAACGCCACACGGTTATTCTTCTGGCAGCGCAATCATATGGTCCCACCGTAGGGATGCTTAACTGCGGAGCCAATATGCCCTGCGAAACTTTTCACTCATTTATCCGTGTAACGTTGAAGAACGGAGCGTCGATCGCCAGCCAGAGAGACTTTCGTTTCGACGCCAAGGCCGCTCTGAAGTGTACGCGATAACTTCCAATATTCTGTTAGAAGACTTGTAACTACGATATTTGAGCATTCGGCTCGATCCGCGACGCAAAATTCGCATGCTTCATCTACAGCGAGTTTTCGATGCCCCGTACGCTTTGCTTCCGTCTATGTACATTAATTCTTGCTGGGAGTAGATGGAAAAAAATTGCGTGGCCTGATAGAAGGATCGATTCCCCTTTCGCAGGTCCTGATTACGACTCGAAGGCCTTAGGGCAGCGATTTCTTCAGGAGGGTCAGCCTCATCTCCCAGCCGCCGACCCTGATTGCTCCAATGGCAGCTTGGAGAGAGCTCCCGGAGGAAGACTCGACAAAAGCCCGATCGGGGAGCATTCATTGTTCTCACCCATAAGCTCAGGAGTTGGGGGACCTTCTCGGAACATCCTCCACTGCCTCTCGGCGTAGATGAGTCTCATGAATTAAGCGTACCCCGAGCTGAGCAACGTACAACATAGTCATGCATAAGCGACCCAGTCACGAATTACTTGACGACAGTCGATTTCTCGTTTCCCACTAGGTTTTCTCATCGGAGAAGTTGACTTATTCTGTGCTGGGTCGACGCGTGTTAAAGAGCCCTTGTGCTGCGGAGGAAGGCGATGTAGAAGAAATCTGGCAGGTTTCCGGCGAGCTTAACGACAATCGGAATATTCAGCGGACACGATATTCTCACAGCTCGGACGAAATCCCATTTCTAAGATTCTCGGGTGTTTTGCTCCGGCCGCTTCTCGGAGTCTGCCTGACCTTTGAGTCGAACGAGTTTTCGCGACATGTCCGCAGCCTTCGGACATTTCGGTGACAATGTTCGGAGTGTTATTCTAAACGCTTGGATTCAGACCCTTCGTGTCCTCATAATGTCGTGGTCCATGCCATGAAATGAACTGTTTCGCTTCGGTCTCAATCGTTCGAAAATCATTCGCGGCTTCTGAGGCAACTGAATTTCTCCTCCGATTCCGGTCGTCGGGGGCTCCGCTTGAAGTAATTGAATCGAGAGAACACCGATTGTAAGCCGCCCGTAAGAGGGAAATTTTGCGTACGACTTAGGCCGCGGCTTCATCCACATCCTCATCTGCGTTTAGAGACTTTCTTTAACGAAGATTCAGAAATTGAAACTTGAATCGGAGCCTCAAGCGTCATGCTCCGTGGAGGAAAGGAGCATAACAAGCAAGAGCTTAGCCTCGGCGGGGACTGGTCACGGAGCGGATATGGAGCTTCGTGTCGTTGCCTTCTGCGCGGGTCGATCTGGTAGGGTTCCCTCGAGGAGAATTCGTTCATTGATATCATCACCTATTTACTTTTGTATGTCGGTCGATAAGATTCGAACCATTCCCTTCCCCTCTAAACTAGTATGATGAGGGCGATGTGCTGGGAAAATTCGCGGCAACCTCATTCGCGCAGAATTTCGCAGATGAATTCGTCGAGCCGCGGAGAAATCTCAAAAATCGAGCGACTCATGAAAGAGTTCAGCTGTCCAGCTATGGCCCATGGTGACCGACCGAGCTGATTCAACTTTCCTCACGAATATTTATCGCGCTTGAGCATCCTGGTCCGTCTCCAGGCCACTGCTGAGATGAGTCTTGCGAATGAAGATGAACCGACAGACCGCCTGACACTGGGCTCAGGTTCTAATTCGGCTGGGTGACATGAACTATGTATCTACCTATGCTGAGAGACCAAGCGGATGAATCAATTCTCGCAGACTGAGAGGGTACACAGAATATCTCCCATTCTCGTGAAAAAGATAGCGAGATGGAGGCTGTGTATTCTTCGGGGGCAGGGGAGTCGCAACCAAGAAAAGCTCAGTCATGAAGGATATGTCATCAGTCATCATGGTGCCTCCGCTGAGCTCCTCCACTGTGCAGAACTCGATGGCTCAGTCACGGTGCTCGGCTTCAGCGTTCCACAGTCGCGGAACCAGGCTCAAGAAGTCATCTCGAAAGTATTCAGTAATTTCTCATGAGATTTTCCCTCCATATGATTGATGTGTATGATGATCGTATATACGAGCAAGTTGAGAATCACCATTTCGTCCACAGACGGCTGTCAGGCCGTTCGGCAACTTTTCGGGGAAAAAGATGTTCTGAATTACTCCGTCGAGATTTCTGGAAGCAGCTAAACTCTCCATTCGGGTTAAATCGAAGCTTTGCAAGACTCGAGCGTATTCTTCCCATACGCCCTCGCACGATGATGAGCGATCGAGGCAGACGAGGCGGTGGGTTTACCTTCAGCGTGCTTCACCAGTTAGAGACGGACGACCCGATCCCGACTCAACGTCAAGTACGAGCTCAAAAGGGGCTCAAGAGGAAGGGTGTTCCCGGCGAAGTCATGCACCAAGACTCAGACATCTATGCTCAG